GGAGTTGAACGTAGTTGATTTAACACCAGTACGACCATTAGATTATGCTTCTTCACACACGAGTTCTCTTTAAATGAACAAAACTAAGCCACTTTCAGAAATCAGCAAAGGTTGTCCCATTTGTTTTCCCTTCTTACACGCCTCATCTGAACTTCAAAATGTTGTTGCGAATTTTCATTTGCACTCACTTCAAAAATGTATTTAAAGATGATTCGTTGGATTTACTTTTTTTTTTTTTTAAGTTAAATGGTTGTAAACTATTCATTTGGGCTGCATTTAAACACAAATTAAGTATTTAATTAATCTAAATTAAAACTAAGAATTTAATTTGTTTGTTTAAATTCAACACATAAATTGTTTGCAATTGTTTGTCACGTGGGGTAATTATGACTTTTTTTATCATATAATATAAATATATTATGATTATAATTATCATGTAATTTTATTGCTTATCTGTAAAGTGTACTCAAGCACGTTCCCAACCTTGTCTCTCAATCTGAGCCTGATGAATCATCCTGGAAATTTGACAGAGGCTGCATTTACACTGCAAGATTAAAGTGACTCAATTCCGATTTTTTTTCTCCCATGTGGCATGGATGGGATATGGCCCATGTATGTGTAAGCAGGAAAAAAATAGCATGGAATCTGATTTATTCAGATCGAATTTAGGCCTTGTTCATATGTGGAAATTTATCTGATATGAATATGATCTGTGCCCCCGTGTCTACAGTATAAGCAGTATACAGGTACAGGTAGCTTGGATTTTTTTTCTGTCAATGCGAATCGTGCGTCATTAAAAACCATAGCAAATGACGTCAAGTTTGACGCTTTCATTTCAGAACAGACTTTAGTTGGAAATCTTATCTCATAAACGAGGGCTAAAAAGCTTGTATATTGTCATGTAGCACAAGTATTTAAGCATAATAACGAGAGAGAGTGAGAGAGAGAGATCAAGAGAGAGCAATAACTGTCACGTAACTAATATAATCTAAACTAAAACTATTGCATACATCACACGCATAAATCACACCATGGACATTACATTAAGATGCCTTCTAGTTTAAAAAGGCCTAGATTAAAAGATGGCAAAATGAGAACTTTTCTGTCTTAACAGTAGTAAAACTTATCAAAAAGAATTTTTAAAAAATTTAAAGGGCACCTATGGTGAAAAATCTACTTTTCAAGGTTTTTGGATAGACATGTGTGCATATATAGTGTATAGACTGTCATATTAGGGTGATATAAACACACACAGCCCTTTTTTTTTACCACTTTAACAACATAAAAATGGTGGACCAATTGGCGCGGTTTTTAGATCGACTGCAACTTGACGTAGGAGTGCGGTCCCCCCACCCACCGATTTTGATTGACAGGCACGCATCACCTAATCCTCAGTTTGTCGTTTCACGTACGCCATTTTTAGCGTGCGAGGCAAAAACACTTCACACTGCATCTATTTTGGGTTGAAAGAAGTGTTGTCAAACAGGAACATATTAATCACAGCATTAAAAGAACTTGTCATTGGCCCCAGTCCCTTCTTTTTGCAGCACATTGTATTTGTAACCTATATTTCTCTGACAAAGTTTTATGCAGCATTTCCTAAAAGCTCTGAAGTTAGTAGTTTAATATGCTTAACTCAGATTCAAGTGGCCCTGTGTAAGTGTGTGTTGATATTTGCGTGTAAATAAACTTGTGTGCTTGATTGCGTTTTCAGGACTTACTTTGCTGGACAGGAGCACCAGGTGCGTCTGATATACCAGGGCCAGCTCCTTCAGGATGACTCTCAGACGCTGGCCTCTCTTAACCTGGCCGACAACAGTGTTTTGCACTGCCACATCTCCCAGCATGCAACACGGGCCATGCCTGCCGGGGCACGGGCTGCTGACCAGGTGCATGTGGCGCTTAATGTGGGGAGCCTCATGGTGCCTCTGTTCGTGCTCATGCTGTCTGTGCTCTGGTACTTCCAAATTCAGTACCGGCAGTTCTTCACCGCACCTGCCACCGCCTCACTGGTGGGCATCACCATCTTCTTTAGTTTCGTTGCGTTTGGGGTGTACCGTCGCTGATGGCTGGCTTTGTTCACTCATATTCACCATACACGTGTTTGCACGCATATGGAAACACATTCGTTGCACTTACTCACTTACCAGTGCCAGTGGCAATGTCTTCTGGGATTTCTGGACTTTTCAGGTTCGCTGAAGGCTGTGATTTCAGAGGAACATCTCTGAGGTCATCTCTCTCTCTCTCTGTTTTTTATTTTTTGGTTTGTTTGTTATTGTGGTTTTCTTTTGTTTGCCATTTTTCATCTGCACCAAGTTTCTGCTTGTCAAAGATAGGATTATGCTATATATTTGATTTTTAAAAAGAAAACTAGAGATGCTTATTGTGCCTGTCCTCCTTTTTCTTTCCCCCTCCCCTTTTTTTAATTGTGTGCATGCTGCCAGTGTGAAACTGGGGCTTGCCTGTAAGAGGGTGTATGGATTGATGGTGTTCGAGTGTCAAACGGGCTCGTCTGGCTGTCTGCCGGACTCCAGCTGTAGTAAAGCAGGTCGGGTAGAGCTGCTATTATTTGTTGGGACAATTACAATAATTTGTGTACAATAAGGCTTTTGGAGATATAATCTATTAAATCATTCTTTTATTTACTGCTGACTGGTGTCATTTCTGAAATACTGGAGTTGTGCTTGTGAGTCAGGTTTTCCTGAAGTTAGTGGATACTTTAAAACTAAACCAAAGCCAAACTGTTGATGTATAAATGATGAAAAGGTCTTTTAAAAACTTTGTGTTTAACAGAAGAATGCATATTTTCCACATGTCTTGGTAAATTATGAGTAAATAAACAGCCAATTACATTTTTTTATACATAATTAATTTTATTAATATTATGTATGTTATATCTAGGCATGAGATGATAACCGTTTTCGAGGTAAACTACGGTTTGGAAAAGTTAAGGTTTTAAAACCGCCAAAATTTGTTGTTATACTTTTCCTATGGTATATGTAAGTTATTTTTTCTCTTTTTTACGTTTTGTTTTTAAAGAAACGGTATATCCAGCAGAAAATTTCTCCAAAGATGCTATTTTAAATTGTAAAGAAATCAGTGTTTTTTTTAAACTAATGAAGACCGCAGAACTCAATAATTTATTTGAATTATTTAGACATGTTTACTGTCCCAAAATATAAAAAATTATTAGAAAAAGTTTAATAAATAAAATTAATTAATAAAAAAAAAATCTTTGTTCTGAAAAAAAGTTTTAGTTTTTTTACCCAGACATTTAAAATATATATATTTTACAGCGGTAATCACAATAGCGTGAAACAGCGGACTTTTTATCCAAGGTTATCATACTGTCAGAATCTTACACAGGCCCATGCTAAATTCTGTCTTTACTTTCTTAAAAGCATGTGTCATTACTTTTAACAACCTGTTATTTAACGTTGTTTTGAGTTTCCCTGCATCCTAGAAAAATTAGTATGGGAGTAGTTGATTGTATTTGCTCGCAAACTCAGTGTAAAAAGGGGAACTGTAGCAGCACAATGGATGTTCTAAACATTTTATGTTGGTTTTGCCTTACTGTTTAAAATCTGCTTTTTAAATTTTAGTTAAATGTTTTTTTGTGGAAAGTGTTCTTATGCTTCATTTTTTTTATAAATGCCACTTGGTATGTCATACTGTTACAAAATGACATTCAAGCATTATGAATCAGTTTTGGGGCCACTGCATGCATAAGTGTGTGCGGGGAGTGTAAAAATGTATTGAAATGTAATATGCGAGTCTGAACCACAAAAACAGTAAAGTTTTTGTCAATAACCAAAATTGATTTTTGTCAAAAAAAAATTTTTTTAGAATAAAAGGAATATAGAAAAGTAGTTTCATTCAGAAAGACCAGGAAAGGGGTTTTGAAGAGTTATTACAACCTACCCTCCTGTTCACCATTTCTGTTTGTTGTCAAAACTAACAGTTGAACCAGTGTGGTTAAGTATGTTAGCCACACCCATTACCTCAAAATCACTAATCTGATCATTCAACTGAAAACAAATATGAAGTGCATTTCCAGATTTCAATTAAAGATATTAAGGGCAAACAATTTTTAATGGCATGCACAGATGAATTGTTCACCACAAAACTGGCAATGTGAGCTAACAAAATCATATGGTTAGTTTTGATTTCTTTGGGACTTTAAAGGAAATTTTCCTCATATTTACATTATTTTTGAAACCTCAGATTACAGATTTTCAAATTGTGTCTCAACCCAACATTTGTCCAATCATAACAAACACAAATCAATGGTAAGATTATTTATTCGGCTTTCATGTGTTGTATAGGCCTAAATGTTAATCTCTGAATAGGCTATATGCACACAGATTTTTAATTTTCAGCCAGCCAGCCTCAGCACTTCCGGTGAACTGTCTTGTTTTCATCATGAAATCGCCACGTTTAAGGTCTGATTTCTGAAGAAATCAGTGATCTTCACTGCCTGATAGATATACGATATTAAGAGGGTCCCAGACCTGATAGGAAGCACTTCGTTAAATTCCATTTTCCCCCCGTTATGTCTTTAAAATATGAGTTTATTTTACCCCAGTATTTTCAATGGAGTTTCTGTGCTCGGATACATCATGGATGTTCTAAAAGGACCTTTATGAAATTTAAATTAGTCACATTTAGCTTTTACCGGAAGTTAATCATTGGCTGAAAAACAGCTGTGCATATACCTCATTATGTCTAGTTTTGTGGTCCAGGGTCACATGTCTACATTTGGGTAACGGACGGTTAGCTTAGAAGTCGGCGTCGTTTCACTTTACATTTGAGACTAAAATCACTAGGACTCTACTTAATTGCAGTGAAGGATATTATTGAATACATTACAGTAAATTCCCCTAATTTCTACAACAGTGTGTAAGCCTTCAGACGTCTGACTCAGACATAAAGCTCGCTTCCGTTTGCAGTAGTTTGTCGACGTTCCCTTACAGCTTCATTGAATGGCTCGTGTCGGACCGGACGATATCCCCGCGCCTGCGCCGCTGCGTCTGCCGCACTCGCCGCCGCCAGAACCCGACTGAAATCACAGACACACGGGCCTTCCTCGCCAGCATCCCTCCATCCAGCGCTCATTCCCAGGGGAGGGGGGAGTAGCCGAGAATCTGTCTGGAACCACGAAGAAGTTGCCGGACGTCGAGTGCTTGTAATCCAGGGGTTTAGATCTCCTCAGCTCAACCGAGAGCATCAAACTTGCGGGAATGGAAAGAAAGGTAGGAATGCAACGCCATCGCATCGCTCGCAGCGTCATTAAATTATCCGCTTCAGCCTCCACGGCAAATGCGTTTTCAGCAGTCATGCTTTCAAAGCGTTTATTCTTCGAATGCTAAGAGCGGCATTCAGACGGTTATGCTGATTAATTTTGCTGTTTTAATTAATTGTGACTGATTAGTAATTTTATTAAGACTATAAACAATCGCCCGCGGTTGATTGACACCTGTCAGTTTAACTATTGCAGCATTTCGTTTAGTGTTAGTAGAAAACGCATTTTTTTTATCATTATTTACCTTCATTATGACTTAACAGTCACGAATATATCCAGAATTCTTTGTGTGGCCATAACTAACAATAATTGTCAAAAACTTCCAGCTGTCTTGATGTCTCTTGTAACTTCTGCACATCCTCTATGAGCACAGCGTCTGCACTTCATTGTGTCTGGGTTAGTCTGTGTTCCTGCAGACTGTGTTGTTTGCAATACTATAGTTTGTAATTCCAGCAGAGGCCTTTTTTCCAGATATACCACAGCACATTTACCCCACCACAAGCACAAGGCTATTCAGTCAGTGTGCGTTTCTCGCATGAAGAGACCTTAAAATGTTGGACTGAAACGTCTATCTAATTGTACTAAAACAAAAACGTGCTCACAAATAGGAGTATAATTGAGCTTTTATTTCTTATGCACATGGATAACTGAGCTCATGTCTTTCCAAAATCTGTGTTTGCCCCCCTCCAGCACCCCTCTCACTCTGATTGAATGGGACTTTGCCACCCTCCTGTATTAGCCTTTATGGGGGTCCCTAAAGGGGGTATTCTACCAAAGGAGGAGATTTTTCTTCTTCTTATGGCTGTGTGGTTTGGCAGACTATTACAAATCAGTAAAAGCCACGGTTTATTTTTAGCTGCTTAAAAATGCTTACGTTTTTTATATATATTTAATATATTTGATTATTATAATAATAATAAAAAAATATTAATAAATGTTTTTAAAAATGGCATTTTGGTATTTTCTTGTTATTAACCATTCATCTTATTAATTTGCCAGTATCTTGTTATTAATTATTTTGTTAAATGCTCTAAATTTTCTTTTAATGTCCTAAATAAAAAATAAAAAATTATCTTTGTTTTGTCACACACAGCCAGAGAAAGTAACTAAATTAATATTTACATCTACCAGCCTCTGAAGGTCCAAAGACGTGTTTTCACACCAAAAATATAGTTCTCTGTATGGTGTGTGTATTTGCTGTAGTATTTTAGACACCTATTAAGTCTGTTTTTTCACTTTTAAATCTTTCTATTATTTTATCAGTTTATGTATTTTTTTTTATTTAAATACGTTTTGGACACCAATTATGCATGATTTTATATTAAAGAAATTACATTTTAATTTAAACATTATATCTCTTTTGTGTTTTAATATTCAATAGACCAGAGATGTCCATTATAACCTTTGATTTGGCCCACCACCCTATCTGAGAAGAGAGTGAGAAAGATGGAGCAAATGCCTTTATAGGAGATCTTCATTTCTTATTTGACGTGACTTTTTTATTTGTTAGTTTTTTTCCTGAGCTGCAAAAAAGCAAAGTGAAATTACACGTTTCATTTAGATGTGGTAAATAAATCTGATTTTATCAAATGTAAAAACTGTCACTGGACTTAAGCAGAAGACTTCGCGAGCAAATCAAGACAAAACTAGTGGAACTCCATTCGATTATAAATTAGATGTTTTTTGTTTTTACTGTAATAAGTTCATTATAAAACCGTTAAAAACTTTATTAAGCAATGTTTTCTACTTATTTTAATATTTATTTTATCTAAATAAATAAACTAGGAAATTACCCATGGCAACTATATTTACCTTCGGCCCGCTAGCCTCAATCAATTTTGGTTTTTGTCCCTTCATAAGAAAAGGTTCGGGCACCCCTGCACTAGACACAAGTCATCAATTACTAATTATTATAAAAATTTCCCAGATTCAGGGACATTCTGTTTTTTTTTTTTTTTTTTAATTCTTTTTATTGTTTTTAGCATACAAAAAATAAACTATAACATAAACAGAACAAACTAAAAAAAAGGGTACAAAGGCCATTTCATAATACACAAACAGTCCCAACATAATACAATACCATCCAGAAAGCATAAGAGATAAAAATAGAATTAAATATAAAAAATAAATAATTTACAGAGAAATGTGTAGGCTCCACAACTCGACATATGCCAAACCAATCCCACCTATAATGAGTTACAAGTCAGCCTTACTGATAATTGGGTTCCAGATTTTTAAAAATGTTTAGTTTGTTTGCCATCCCATACCGCATTTGTGACATTCTGTTTTAACGACAGCAGCACAATTGAATGATTGCACAAATCAGAAACCATTTTGGTTAATTTTATGGTGTCTACAATAATAAATACATGCAGTACAATATTATTTGAACCTCATGTTGTTCAAAATATCTCAAGGACACACGTTTACAACCAAACACTAATTTCTGACCAAATTCAAAATTAGTTTTGATCTCTTCCTTTAAAATCTCACTCACTTTCACATTGCGAAGCGCAACCTAAATTCCCCCACTACAGCAATTCACAGGCAATCCGTCAAGTAAAACCTTCCAGCAGAGTTTCCATAAGGCTAGTCATTCCGACTTAATAACCGACAGGGTGTTTTGGTATTCCTGCTTACTCCGAGCGGCATTCCTCAACACAGTGGTGGTCCAGCGACAGCCCCCTTCACAGACCCCCATCCTTCCCAACCCAGAGAAGCACACGCTTTCAAAAGAGAGAGAGCGGAGAGAGGGAACGTCAGAGTGCGGAGAAGGAGGGAGGGAGAGAGAGAGAGAAAGCTTTCTCTTTTGGAGGAGAGGGAAAGTGAGGGAAGCGCACAGAGGCAGAGGTACCAGCAGCCGCGGAGCAAACAAAAGAGCCACTGCTGGCCTTTTCTAAATGGACATGGAGGATTCAGCCGGAGGAGCGCGCAAAGCCACCAAGAGTAAACTGTTTGAGTTCCTCGTCCATGGAGTGGTGAGTGTGTTTGTGCATGTGTGGACGCGTGTCAGTAGCTCTGCTTACAGGAATGAGATGCAGCGGCTTTTATCGCTCATTTCTGTGTAGGTTAGTTTTGAAAAAGAAAAATCTGGAACTGCCGAGGAGTGAAAAAAAGGTGAAAGGTTAACATATGGAGGAGAATGTATGCAAGAAAAGAGAAATGCCGGTGCTGGAAGTGTGTGAGATACTCGTATTTTGAGAGACGAGCGGTAGGATGAAGCAGAGGATGCTCTTTTGGTGTGTGTGTGTGTGTGTGTGTTTAGATGAGGGTGTGTATCAGGAGCACACATTAAAAAAAATCCTGCTGTGGTGTTTTATTCATTTGTGAAGTGGAAGCAGACTTGATTTTATGTGTTTGTGGCGTGAAGTGTGGAGGAATTAATGATGCATGGAGACTTTAGAGAACTTTTGGTGCTCTTGGAACTATTTTGAGGCTGCTTTTTAGTGTTATTATATATCAGACCAAATAGCAGGGAGTGTTTCTAAGGGCCTAATTGATAAAATACAACTTTCAAGTTCTCGCCAAACCTTGAAGGTGCATGTATTTCTTAAATTGATGGATTGGGTTTAAATGCTTGATTAGTAGTTTTTGCGGATCTCTTTGAGGCAGCCTCTTCAACCAGCTTGTTAAAAAGCACATTCAGAAATATTAAATAACAAACTTGTTGTGGATGTGAAATTAGAGCGCGGAGGGTTGGTATTCAACCATTCATTAGAAACAGCGTTGGTGAAGCACTCTGGTTTAAAAAATTCATTTTGTGCAAATATATAACTCCCTACTGAACATGTTCTGCACGTTCTGCACACAATGTCTTTAGTAGTTTAGATGTTATGAGTCTGTATACTCTTATGTTTATCGGTACATCCAGCGGCAGTATATTTATAATGTTTTTTTTGCCACTGACGTTGTACATTTTCCCTGCAGACATGCATTGGCGTAAGACAATAATATTAGGTTAGATTTATGTCAGCAGCATTTAAGGACAACGCTATTTTGACATCCAATAACGACGTGAAATGACTCTGATATTTGCTTGATTTCAGGTTGTGTTGGAAAGTGACCAAAATCTAACATCGAGCCAAAATCTTAAACTCACGTCATATTGACGTCAAATACTGACATTTATTTGTCAGGTATGGCAACCAAAATCTGATAAACTCATAGTGGTAACGTTCACATAACGTCAAGCTGTAACATCATTAGACGTTGATATTTAGTTATTTTTAGGTTGCGTTTGAAAGTAACCAAAATGCAATGTCTGTCCCACGTTGGACATTGATATTAGCCTGAGGTTGGGTTCTGATGTCAACCCGATTTTCTTTTTTAATCAAACCACAAGGTCCCACGACACTGGGGTACAAGGTCAATCCAATGTCATGTTGTCATCCTGTACCTTTATTAAGTGTGACGTCAGGTGAAGCGGCTTCTGAGTCCAAGCACTCTATCAAACTGTATGGGGAGGCTCATCAAATGGTTCTAATAAACGTTTATGAAGCGCTGTAATACTTTCAAAAATCACAGTATAGATACATCCATCCCTAATATCCTATGGCCATAAAATAGTTAATTTTTTATAAATTGTTAAAATTTTAGTATTTGGTATGCAGCAAGTCAGAGACTAATGTTTACACTATGATTTTATATAAAAATTCAGTTAAATGTGTGATAGGACTAAAAAGTGTCCATAAACAAACATTTTCTCAATTCAAATGAGTAGCGGCTTGGACCCGGAAACAGTATTCCATATGTCAATGATACGTCATGACTTAACAAGCGGAGTAAAATGAAAATTGTGAACTGCTGTAGTGGCACCATGGGTGGAAACCTGTAAATATAGGGGGGCTAATAAATAAAACCATCTACTTTATACACCATTAGGAGCGAGAATTTTGAACAGCTCTTTTCACATGCTTGCAGAAAAAGGCTTACCAAAAAATCGTGACTGATTTGTCTTTATTTCATGTTTTCTGGGTTGGTAGAGGCAGCCAGTACAAAATGAATAGTAATAAAGTGTTCACATATTGTTGTATACTGTTAAAAATATTGATGGTAATGTTTATATTCAAAGATGAACATGCACAAATAAAAGAAATGCAGACTAGATAGGTGCTAGGTGTATACAGGCACTGTTGGCAACCTTCACTGTTAAAAAAATCTCGCTGTCTTAAATTTCTTTAGTTGAATCAACTAAATTTTTCTAGTCATCCCAACTTTACCAGTCAAACTGACTTAATAATAAAATAGTAACATTTTAAATATTATAAATGGTTTAAATATTGGAAGAGATTTCAATGCACATGACAATTTTGTCAAAGATTTAATTTAATGTGTGGTATGACTGAACAGTTGTTTTAAAATGAGTAGAATATTGTACCTGTAAATGATTTGCCAAACTTCACCACTTAACCAGCGGATTGTATTGAGAATGATTCTAATCCAGTATGAATGTGGCGCAGCAGCATGAAGAAGGTGTTTTTGGGTGAATTTCTCTGCACTGGGCCTCCTCCAGTGCCCTGAACACCTCCGCTGTGACCTTGAGCGTCCAGGATTGGCAGAGGCGAGCAGAGACCTGAACCGATTCCCGCTGCGTCCACATGTTCACGTCCCACCGCCTCCTCGTTCCGCTCACTGCAGGGATTGGACCGGGTCTGGACACCCCTGGAGCATGGCCTACTTTGGGAAGCGATGATCGGGTTGAGAGGGTCACGGCTCCATACGGGAGCATCTCTGGCAGATTTACTGTACCCGCTGCTGTGGGCAGGACTTGAGCTGGGGACGCTGGCTCACGTTCTGGATGTTTCCGCAACTTTGGTGCACATCCAGAGAGTCACAGTGACTTGGTGACTCTGCCATTATGAGTCATGAACAGCAGAGCTCAGATCTTAACACAGATTCAACTCTCTGTGAAATGATAACAGGACTAAACCCTGAGATAATATTGTGATTTTCAGTTGCAAAGCAGTTTACAGGAAAGTTTTACGTGTTGGTATTCATTCATTTGGTGCCGTTTAGTAATCTTAATGTCTATTTATAAATGTACAATTGTCTATTTTTAATTGATTTTACTTAATTTAATTTTATTCGTTTTTTATTTAATTAGTTTTTTATTTTATTTTATTAGTTTTTATTGTATTTGTTTTCATTTTATGTTATTTTGTTTGTTTTTTATTTTATTTTTTTGTTTATTTGTTTTTTCTTTTATTAATTAATTTTTTCTTTTCTTTTTATTTGTTTTTATTTTATGTTATTTTATTTGTTTTTTTCTTTTATTTGTTTTTCTTTTCTTTTATTTGTTTTTCTTTTCTTTTTATTTTGTTTGTTTTATTTTATTTTATTTATTTCATTTTATTTTATGTAAACTTTCAGTTTTTTGTTAATAGTCTTTTAAACAATTAGATGATCAACTTTTAATATTGTTTATACAAACAAAATGTTAAGAATGTATAAGTGGATGCATGTAGAAATGAACAATAATGTTGAATATATACATATATAAATTATTTATATGTATTTTTTATTTTGGGATATTGCATACTTTAATGTTAACCAATTGAATATTACTATTTAAAGGTACAATATTAAGATTGCTATATTAATGATTTTTATTTCTTCTTTCTTTTTTAAAAATACTGCTCATTTTTTAAAACTAGTGATTAATTGAATTATAATAATTTACAAACATACATAATTTAAACAATGTTACTTTAATGTTACTTTGTTAAGTATTAGCCATTAATAATAATTTACATAAATGTGTTCAACAAAACATTTGTTCATTTATATCAATTTGTGCAAAAATGAATGCTCTAAATTCAAAGTACTTTGATTTTTTTTATTTAAGTTGTGTATATGCATATTTGACTTAAAGTAATCCTCTTAAACTTGTTATTGTGATTGCTTTAGATTTAAAAACCTATTTCTTATTCCAGAAAGGACAGTGTTCAGAATGTGAACTAGATGAAATGTGCAGTTATTTGACATCCTAGTTTGCACAGTTGTCCTTTAGACAGCATTAGGCCGAGTGTGTGTTTGGGCAGAGGGGAGCAGCTGTCGCCTCTAAAGTGACAGGCACAGGTGCAAGAGGCCCTGGCCTAATTCAGCTTCACATACTGGAGGACCGGCTCATTACTACACTCCTACCACCCTCAAAAGGCTCTTTGTGCGTTATGAGAGCTCCTGCTGATTTCAAAGCAACACATTTGTCAAAAAATATCTATGCATCTTCTTATTCATTGTATATCTGTGAGATTTAGTGCATATATAACACTACAAGTGTGTTCAGCAAATAAATACGTTGGTGTTTGACCTTTAGTCTACATTTTTTTGTCATCCACTCAGCGTCCAGGAATGACCTCAGGGGCACGGATGCCCCATCAAGGAGCTCCCATGGGGCCTCCAGGACCCCCATATGGAGGAACTCCACAGATCCGGCCAGGGATGCCAAATCCAGCCCTCGACCCCAACCGAAAACGTCCCGCCCCGACCCAGCCTGTGCAACCTCCCTCTGTCCAGAACCGTTCCAGAAAGTGAGTTCCTCTTAAACTGTTCTCCGACCTGTTGATTTTAGGTCTGTGCACTCAAAGACTTACAATGCAAGTCTTGACTACCAGCAACTGGTTAATTGACTAGATATAAATTTACCTTTTTATTTACAACACTTTGTTTAAAAAGAAGTGGAAAAAAAAACCATAGCATTTAGATAAATTTACTGTTTATTTATATTGACTTTTTAACAAGGTTTAGGAGGTGGCATAAGTGCAATTAGGTGTGGTTTATTTCTAAACAAATTTCGAGATGATCTTGTGCTTGTGATTGAACACACCTGGTACCGCATCAGGGGCCTCATGTACGAAGACTTGCGTGGAAATCTTACTAAAACATTGCGTACGCACAAAGCTGTAAATGTGCGTACGCAGAAAAAAATTCAGATGTATGAAACACTGCGTACGCCGAATCTCACGCATATTCTTTTGTACATCCGAATGAACGTGAAACTGAGCGCAACATGCACGAGCGCAAAACCCCTCCCTGCCTCCTCCCCCGTATGAATATGCTAATGACTATGCTAATGGCAAAACCCAACGAAAAAACAATGGCAAAAGCAAGCAAAAAGAGAAACTTTGAACAGAATGTGAATTGGAGGTGCTGCTTTCGGAGGTAGAACGGAGAAAAGCGGTGTTATTTGCAAGTTTGTTCTCCGGAATTAACAACAAAAGAAAAAAATAGAGTGGGAGAGTTTAGCTGATACGGTTAACACAGTTGGGTCTGAACATCGCACTGAGTGCATTTAAAAAAGAAATAGTGTGGTTTATATCTGTAAAATGTTGAAGTACTCTTAGCAGTCTCAGTGGCGCACCTCATAAGAAGCATATGATCATGTACTGACACGTTCGAGCACAAACTCGGTTCGAATCCAGCGTCTGATGAATTCTTTCTTCTTTTTTTTCCCACTACATATCAGATTTTGCCCACTATTTATCACGAGAAAGACAAGTAGGAATCATTAATAAGTTTGTGCATCATTTTATTTGCACATTTATTGAATGGAAATGTTTCTGATTCACGCATGCAAATTTATCTTCACATAGTGTCTTTATAGCAATGTGCGTGCAGTAGATAGCTCAGATTACATTGGGAAAACAGGCGACCGCTGCAAATTGTGCTTTAATGTTTAGCTGGTCAACTGTATGGTATGGAAATCTTACATACCTACTATATGAACCCGTCTGATACAGCTGCCATTGCAAGGATCAGACACTTTGTAGAGAAGAATTTAACACAACTGCCTCTAGGAGTCGCCAATGGAAATAAAACAGACACGCACAAAAAATGTGCGTACGCCTGCCAGAAAGCTGCCGTGAACCTGCGCACATTCCCACGTTCAGTTCATTGTTAGTAAATCCAAACGTGAGCGATTCTGAGCGTGAAACCTGGCGTACGCAAAGTTTTTGTGCGTACGCAGCGTTGATACATGAGGCCCCAGCTCCGTATATTGCACCAATCAGACGAACACTGACACACTATGAATAACCAGAGCTTTCTACTTCAGTCATCTAAAGTTGCGGTCACACTGGGCTTTTCCTCCCATAGACTTTCATTTATACGCACGCAAATGTGTCAGACCGGAAATGCAGGGTCATGAGTCAAATTTTGCAGGTTGCTGTGGTGCAAAGTTCAAGCTTGGTAAACTCTGACCTGCGAAATCGCATCACTTGACTGCGTGAGACAAAACATGACCTGGACAAAAATTTAAAACTTTTAGCAATCGTTCGCTTTTTAAAATGTCTAATAAGCTTGTTTAATCCCTGCACGACAGAATATCGCATGGTCAAACTGTAATGTGACCGCAGCTTTAGTCTTGAAGAATCCCCTCTCCCACCCCTACTCCTCCCCTTCTCTGCTAGGGTGGCACGACAGCCCAGTGCACTGTTCCCCCACAGCAAGAACGCCGCTGGTTCGTCCCCTCTCTGAGCCGGTCGGCGTTTCTGTGCAAAGTTTGCATGTTCTCCCCATATTTGCGTGGGTTTTTCCCGGGTTTCCTGGTTTCCTCCCACCGTCTAAAGACATACACCATAAGTAAATTGACTACTCCAAAACAGCATCTTAAGACAACTTTTAGCCTGATATATATCAGCACATTCACAAGTAAAGGAGTTCTCGAGACCTATCCGAGCTCAAACTCTCCTCTCGCCCTTCAAATGGGAGGGAGCTTCGGGCTTGAGGATATTCTGAGCTAAGGGCTCTCTCCTGGGTCAACATGCCAAATACGCTTTATTATCAATAATCAGCTTAGTGTGAACTCTTGAAATCAATAATAAAAATGTCAAAAGATTTGAAACTATAACCGACAGTAGGTGGAGTCAAGTCTCCTTCTTTGTCACTGAATGATTTATTTAATTGAGTTGTTCGAAATGCTGATTAATTCACACTTGTCTTTCTGAATGGATGACTGAATCATTGTCTCATATCAAAGCTCAAGATTCATTCGTGAACAAAACATGGGATGGAGCTGTACAGCGGCTGAGCTGTTTGGAAGCAGTTTCGAGAAATTGAAGCAACATTTGGACAACAGTGATTGTAAAAATGCATCATTTGCATTATGATTTTAGGGTTAATAATAACAGTTCATTTTAGAAACAAGGAACCTAGAATCTGCTGTAACTTAGATATTAACGACAAAACATGGATTGCAAAAGTAAATGTTAGCAAGCCCTGTTAACTGTGTTTTACAGTAAATATAGAACAGCTTACGTTATAATACACATGACTTGGATTTTCTAGTCATCTTTTTGCTCTTCCTAGAATTCTCCAGTAAAATCTTCCTAAGAATAGCACTCTCAGTGACACAAATTTTAATAATTAATATTTTTAACCTTTGACACCAACATTTTGATCACAATTAACTTATTAAATACATGTTGCTTAATTTTAATAGTTCACTGTATGGAACAAAATCAGTGCCAAAAGTACAATAGCAGTAACTGAAAAAAAGTATTACATTTAATTAACAACTGGTTGCATTTTAATGACTTGCATTGCAAGGATTTGTATTTTTAAGTCCTGAAAATTCGCTTCCACAAATTCAGTGGTTCAAATTCGGCGGTTAAATTTCAACATTACATCTAGGATCTTCAGGAAAAGCAATAGATTGCAGACCGAAATCTTCACCTATTATTAAAAAAACATAGACATATATGCACTAGATATCGCATACAGACAGTGCTCTCAGGACAAAAGTCATTCAACCGCACTATCAAGACTAAAGCCAATGTGAAGATGCTGGACTTTAGCACTGTGTACGGGTGTAGTAACGAGAAAACAAAGCATATAGGCAGAACATTTCATAGATAAGATTTATATTTTTACGTTTTTGTAAGTTACGAACTTTTGTACTAAAGTACCGTTATTGATGATAATACGGACACTTACTGCACTGAACATAAGGCAAAGTAGTACCAACCTGCATTAAATTCTAGGCTTATGCTAATTTTGTTAAACAAAACCAGCAAACAATGTAAATGAAATATCATAACAAGATGTTGATGCCAGAAACTTGTATTATTGTCGGCTAAGTTCATGAACATTAGTTTTTGAAGTAACTTTAAGGGGGCCTGATAATAAATCAGTGCCTGCTCCTCAATGTGCATACTGTCCACCCTAAATTATTGAATATTACAAATGTTATATACCATTTAGATCAGAAAGGTGGATATGCTCATAATATAGACACTGGGATAACGATGGTTCACACCATACCTGCCAACACTCCAACACACCGTTTTTCCCGGGAGTATTCCGTATTTCAAACTCATCTCCTGTATTGTTCTGTCTCTGGAAGTTCTGGAAAACTCCCAGAAATTTAACAGTTGAATTTGAACTACTAAATTTATGGAAGCATATTTTTGAACTACGATCAAATGAGCTGAAAATTGCCTTTTGAATGTTATACATTGTATTTTTAAACAGAACTGAATATTTTGGCAGTAAAATCTGGAAGTTGAATATGAAGTATTGAATTTAAGTATGAAAATGTGTTTTGAATTGAAATATGCACAGCTTAAATAAACAACTATGTTAAGTTTCAGGACCTAAATATACAAACCCTGGCAATTCAAGTCATTAAAATGCAAGCACTTGTTAATTCGCTGTATTATTTTTATTGAGTTAGTGCTATTTGACAAGCTTTTTTTCAATACTTTTGGCACTGATTTTGTTCCATATCACTATATGTAATAACTTAGTCAAACATACATCTGATACACGTAGAGTATCACTCGGCCAGTCCTGTTCAGAAGTGGAATGACTTCTCTCTAACTTTCTGCATAACAGTCTCATATGGGGCCATTTGGTACTGCTTGTACTTTCGAAATATGTCTTTGACATTTTATTTTCAGAGCTGGACTGTTAGCTTGACATCAGATCTATTTTTTTATAGCTGTTGGCATCATTGCAGTCAGTAAATCTTAAGTATATACTTGTATAATAGTCTATACTTTGCATATAGGAGGGTTCAATGCCAATGACATGAATTTAAAGATATATAAAAAAGCATCCGCTCCGTGAAACAAATGCTGGATAAGTTGGCGGTTCATTCCGCTGTGGCGACCCCAGATTTATAAAGGGACTAAGCTGAAAAGAAAATGAATGAATGAAAAATAAGTGCGACATTTTATTAATGTAGATAAAAAGAATTACGAAATGAACTGATATTAACTACTAAAACGATGATAATCAAAGTCATTCCAAATATCCTGATGATTGATGTTGTAGGTTTCAGCATATCGCAGTCTCTACAGTGGACTAATGCTAAAACATAAACATAATTAATAATAATAATTATGCCAGTAGCCTTTTTATTATTATAAAGTTATTTTTTTATGTATTTTTTTGCCATTTTATGCCTTTTTTGCAAAAGGACAAGAAGCGAAGTTGAAGAGACAGTTGGATGGGATTTGGAAATCTGAAAACTCTAAACACCTAAATCAAAACGGCGCTATATGTAACCATACTGCCTACGAAGCTATCGGCACAGACACTAGCCATTATTTTTAATGGGCAAGGAAAGCCCTTTGTGCTTGGGAAAGGCCACATATGAAGTATTTTTGGGAGGTTGTGCAATTTCACAGAGTAGTTTTGGATTCAGAAATTCTGGATGAAAAGATCAAGCATTTCTTTGAGATGAGAAGTGCAATAGTCTTTTAAAGCACCTGCTGTGTCATGACCAAGAGGACCTGTTTCTAAAAATAGACATTAAATATGTTTAAAGAATGATCCTTGACTTTTATGTATGGCAAATGTAAATTTGAACAAATTTTTTTGACTGATAACCCACAAAATATGAGAAAAATAAAATTTTTGATATGAAGGAAGAGAGGCGCTGCTGGCTGGTATGGGTCCTATAAAAACATTTCAACATGACACATTTCAATTTCGTGACTGGCATTGACACAAGTACCTTGTGTAGTGAATGAAAGTGAAAGGGGGTGTTGTGTTGCAAACTCAATTGGGTTGAATTGGTTTGTCACTGACGAAAGTGAGGAGAGGGGTGGTGGGTTGGCAGAGGCCTCAAAATTCAATTTAATTCAATTCATCTTTATTTCTGTAGCACTTTTACAATGTAGATTGTGTCAAAGCAGCTTAACATAGAAGGTTATAGTGGATTGAAACTGTGTCAGTCCAGTTTTCAAAGTTGAGTTTAATTCAGTTCAGTGTGGGGTTTTTTTACTGCTGAGAGTCTAAACACTGAAGAGCAAATCCATCAATGTGCCGCTCCACAAGTCCCGAACCATGCAAGCCAGTGTCGACAGAGACGAGGAACAAACTTCACTGAATTGCAAAAGTGAAGGAATAAAACCTCAAAAGAAACCAGGCTCAGTTGGGCATGACCATTTCTCCTACGGCCAAACTTCTTGTGCAGAGCTGCCGTCTAGGCACCGGAGGCTGGACAAAGCTGGACTTCCATCGTGGAGAAGCTGCAGGAGGAGAGGTCACCAGCTGGTGTACAGGCTGGTACTTGCGAATGCGAAGACTCGTCTGTCACTGGGGTCTTACAGGAATCAGTCTTGCTAAAAGGACCTTCAAACAGTATTCCACTGCTCATTTTCATCCAAAACAACCCTGTTAATTGAATTCTCTTCCCAAGGGCGAGAAAGAGATGTTTGGAATTTGCTGTTCGTTTTTTCTCGGGTTTTCATCCGTCTTGTTGCTGTGTTGTAACTGTCCTTGTGTTTTTCGTTTCAGCTGAATGCGCTTGTAAAGGTTATCACCGAGAAACAGATTACTGAATTCAACAGATTATGCTAGAATTGTATAACAGGTGCTAAATTCGGATAATACAAAAGAAAATGTATGTTAATGCATTCTGGGTTGATTTTCGTCAGCATTGGTAATTAGTACTATTTCATACTCTGCCCAATAAGATGAGAGTTATTTTTATGTTATGGGTGTTAAATGATAAATAGCCTTTATTATATTTTTGAATGCATTAGGAATATTTTATATTAAATTAAAAACATTAACACAGAAAAAAGGCACGTGAGGCATCCAATTATTTACAAACAAATTGATATAAAAAAAAGCTCATTTATTTTGAGATTAGGATGAAGATTATGTTTGTGTTTTTTTTAGATCAGTGTTTCTCAACCACGTTCCTTTAGGACCACCAACACTGCATGTTTTGGTTGTCTCCTTTTTTGTCACACCCATTACGGGTCTTTCAGTCTCTGCTAATGAGCTGATGATCTGAATCAGGTGTGTTTGGTTAAGGAGACACGGAAAATGAGCAGAGCTGGAGGTCCTTCAGGAACGTGGTTGAGCAACACTGATTTGGATTATTACTGTTTTGAAATATGAAGTGAACAACAGATAATTATAAAGAAGACCATTTAATGTAAAACAAAAAGCTTGCACAAATTAATATTCAAAATAAGTCACATATATATATATATATATATATATATATATATATATATATATATATATATATATATATATATATAATACACTATTCAAATAAAAAATAACATTTTCTAAATAAATTATTTTAGCATGTAATTTGTTTCCTGTGATGGCGTGATTTTTATTATTTAATTATTTGAAAAGCATTCCTTAGTTTTGACTAAATTATTTAAGGCACAGGTTTCAAACTCAGCAGCTCTACACAGTTTAATTAAACACACCTAATTAAACTAATTTAGTCCTTCAGTTTAGTTTGAAACCTACAGGTAAGCGTGTTGAAGCAGGGTTGGAACAAAACTGTGTAGATCTGCGACCCTCCAGGAACTGGATTTGACATGTGATTTAAAGGATTTAATTTCTCAGTTGCTCTACATTTATCTGCAGAAACATATTTAATGTAAGTGAAAACCAGTATTATTCCACAAATATACAGATTTCTTAACTTTTCTGAAGTCTAAAATCTGAAAATATAGATTTACATTTTTCTGTTGGCCAATAGTTATTTTATGCCAAAATGCTCTACATGACAACATTTTTATTTTAAATTTGGAAGAAATGTTATTGTTAGTGTACAGAAATGTAAAACGTTACAATAAAAGAAACACTGAGACATTTTATGTGGTCTCATAATTTTTTTGCATAGCTATAAAAATAAACACACACACACATGTTAGTATTGGTGGTTTATGAGGACTCTCTATAGGCGTATTGTATTTTATACAGTAAAAACACTTATTATATGACCTTACCACCCCCCAGCTTGGTCATACCCATGTCTTTATACAATAAAAAATGTACTTGTAAACCACCAAAACCAGTGCGCACACACATCTATCTGTACAATAATGACTGTTAACCAAAGAAGAAAATCAAGAAATAAATTCCTAACTAGCCACTATATTTACCACATGTAATTCATCTCTACTGTTTAAATAACTAACTAGAAATACCCCTAATCAACCTATAGGAAACCACTTGGATTTCCGGCAGCAAATGAGATATCAGCGAGACAGATGGACATGAGAGAAGCCCAGTCAGATCCTGCAATTGGATCCAAGTAGGCCGTTTATTCTGCTGCATGTCAGTTTGACACTTTGTGATGGATTTGTCCCTGCCTGACTGGTTTGTTCCCGTTTGCAGAATCGACCCTGATTTTACCGTATTTCCCCCTAATGCATGCATGCGTGCACTAAAAGTAAAACACTCAACATAATTAAAAGGTTAGTTCACCATGGAATGAGAATTCTGTTATTAATTACTCATCATGTCGTTCCAATCCCCTGAGACCTTTGTTCATTGTCAGAACACAAATTATGATATTTTAGATGAAATCTGAGAACTTCCTTATCCTCCATGAATAGAAACAGTCCTGCGACGTTCAAAACAAAAACACTGTCAAAACATTCCACGTGTCTTTAGTGGTTCAAATGTAATCATACAAAACTCCACAGACACCTTTGTGTACCAAAAAACTGTAAAAAACAACAGCAAAAAAAAACAAAACGTTGTGTACCAGAATCTTTTACGTCAGATCAGGGTGTGTGTTTACATCAGGAAGTACAACATTTGCATTGTACAAAATACATTGTACTGCCCATAGTAAATCCTCACACTTACAACCTGACGCTGGAGTTTTGTCTGATTACATTTGATCCACTGAAGTCACATTGAACATTTTGACAATGTTTTTGATTTATTTTCTGAACTTTGAATGACTCAGGACCATGTATGTCTATGAAAGATGGGAGAGCTCTTAGAGTTCATCTAATATATCTTCATTTGTGTTCAGAAGGTGAACAAAGGTCTCAAGGGATTGGAACAACATAAGGGTGAGTAATTAATAACATCATTTAGATTTTTGGCTGAACCAACCCTTTAAAAATGACATGCACTAAATGAATGCAGCATTTTACATGAGCTGAAAATGAATGTGCCATTGTAGTGCATGTGAAGCAGAACCTGCGGTCAGTTCTGCAGGGGTGTTTCAAAATAATACCGAAAGTAAAGACATTTTGAGCAAACATTTTACTTGAAATGTACAGTGTAAAAATATCTGGCCCAAAAATATACTTGAGTAAAAGTACAAAGTACAATTTTAAATTGTATTTAAGTATTTAAAAAATAAAGGTAGTCTGGCAAAGAATAAGTAAAAAAGCAGAAAGAAGAAATTTTTGTTTGATCACATCGTATTATTTATCAAAAAGGGAAAATGCAATGGTAATGGACCAAACAATTGCATAGAATAACTATTAAAATCCGGCTGAAAAAACATATAGTTCTTAAAGGTATACAAGCTCATCTAATAGTCAATATATACAGTAAATACACTATAGTAGGATCGTTAAGCATGCTGTGCAACTAATTGAACAGATAGTGTTCCTTTAAACAAATTTCAAAACATTTAATCTTAAAATATATAAAGCAATTAAATTTGTATATTTGACACTAAAATATTAACTGGATTTAATTTGCTCTAAATCCTGTGCATTCTGTCGGTACACTAAATTAGCATCTAATAATAATGAAGAGACCACTTGAATATTCTCAGTTTTCTGGATTTACTTAATTTGTTAGGTATGAGTTTGAGAAAACTGCTAATATTTGTTTTATGAAGGTCGGATGCCATTTCTTCCTAATTTAAAATAAAATAGTATTATTTGTTTATTTTTTCCAGAAAATGTCAGTTGGTCAAAACAACAAATATTTTGTTGAAATTAAAAATCAAGGTTATTCTAACAAATATTGATTTAAAAAAATATCTACCAAGATAAAACCAATAATAAAAGAAATAAAACCAAGTCGTGTACAAATGAAGATAAACATGTTTAAGTACCTCCTTTTTATTTCGTGCAAAAATGCTCTAAATAAGAATATAAAAAAAATAAAAATTCAGGAAATAAAACAACATGTAACTGTAAACATAAATCCAGAGAAAATAGAGAATTAGAATCTGAAACTGTTGTATTTCAAAGTGTTCTCTTCATCATAACTCAGGCTAGTTCTTGCATGTTAAACATGCAGGTTTGATTGTTCATTTACCAATTTTTAAATGTGCATATGATGGTAGAAAATAAAATGTAAAGATGTAAATGATTATTTTTAGTTTAAATAAAATGGGCTATATGCAGCTAATGTTTTTCAGCTAATGATAATCTTTCCGGTGAAAACCTAATGTGACTATTTTCAATTTCATAAAGGTCCATTCGCAACATACATGTTGTAATTACAATATAATCAGTTAAATAGATTTAAGCATTAATTTAGTTGTTGTAAAGTGTTGTAAAGTGTAAAACAAGATGAAAGACCAGCTAGTGTAACCACTAGCAACGTCAGGATCAGCAGGTAAGCGAAGAAACTCCATTAAAAATACTAAGGTAAAATAAACTGTCATCTTTTAAAGAGATGGCGGAGAAAATTTTCATTTGTTGCTGTGCTTCCTGTCTGGTCTGAGACCCACTTTGTTTGCTATATACTGTATATCAGGCAGTGAAAATCACTGATTTGTAAAGAAATAAGACCTTAAACTTGTCAATTTTATTATGGAAAGACAGTTCACCAGAAGCGATGAGGCTGGGTGGCTGAAATTTAAAGTTTGTGTGCATATATACCCTATTTTGAGTAAAATAGTGTCCTTTTCAGAAAGTGAAAAGACAAGTTTGAATTGTAACTCAGTGCCAATCCTCAAAAATAACACTTAAGTACATTTATCAAGTAAAATGACTCAAGTATTTTACACCCCTGCTCCTCTGTCTTGCCATGTTTTCACTCAAAAAAATTCTCTATTACCCTTGCCTGAATGTGTAATGCCCGTTTTATTAACCTAAATGCGTTAAATATTAATAATAAGCCATAAATATGTGACAAGTGTCAATGCATTCACCCCCTTCACATCTCAGCGTCCGCTTCTCAGCCCGTCCCGAAGGACTGTGGTGTGGCTTTGGGGTGGAAGAGTCGGACCATGAGAAAGTTTATCCTCCAGAGGGGGAGTGAATGTGAATGTGGTCAGACATTTCCGGCTCTGACAGGATCACATGCTCAGATCAGATCAGATCAGATCAGATCGTGGCATCTCTGTCAGCGGAAAAATGACTCTGCTCAGATTCTTTTTATGCATGGTGTTTAGGATAGGAAAGGAGTGAGTGGGGAATTGCTTTTAGAGAGAACATTTTGATGCAATTTTATGGTCAAAACTGATGCTTCAGACATTTGGACCACAAACATCTGTTCCTCACTGTCCATGCAGGACATAGACTTAATGCATCAGATCTTTTATGGTTTTTCTAAACGGTATACAATTTATTTCATTGAGTGATGCTTTTTTAGTGTAATGATGATTACCCAATATATGAGCTCAGTTAACTATTTCAAAGTACCTCAAATAAAAATAAAAGTGTGATGTGTAATACAGGGATTTATAACATGCAAATGTACATTACTGATTGGAAAAAGGAACTAATTATTACTACAAAATATAATCATAAGCAATGCATTATTGAGGGACTTTTGGTAATCTTCTCTTACTGTTTTTGACTGTCAATTTTATTGTAACTCTTGTTTTGTATACCTAAAAAAAGGAGAAAAAATATATTTTACTGTAAATTTACCTATGGGGTAACAGTAAATCATATATGGTTCTCACTCTTATAAATGTGAGACAAAACAATGAGATGCACAAAAAGGTAAATAAGAACAAGTTTAATTCAAATTTTTTTTATTCAGTCAAATATAAATATATAGTAATTCATCATGCAGGGACTTCAGGGAATGTCTGCTTTCTTTTATCATTGTAAGTTATGCTAATTCATAAATTTTACTGTCAAAAAAACTTGTCACTTTTTTATCAGGGGCGGATTTGGGGGTCCTAAGCAATTCCAGGTATAGGGCTCTGGCATTAAAACTCAAAGCACTCCCTTTCTACATAGATATTTTATTCTGTGTAGATTCTTTTTGTTTTGTTTTTTGTATAAACTTATTTATTAATTAAATACAATAAATTTGCAAAGTTATACTGCTATTACCAATATAAACTTTTCAAAAACTAACTACAGTTAGTTAGCCAAATTTGGAACATTCCATTATTCATGGGGGTTTGCGGTTTTAAAGAGAAGTAAAAACAATAAAATATTAATGGGTATAGACAGATTTATATACATATTTTATGTACATATTTAACATATGATAGAAAATGTATAAAAAGCTATATTATTAAAATAGTCCTTTTGGCATTGGTCGGGGCCCTCTAAGTCCGCCTCTGCTTTTTATTAATGTATAAATCATTTACTGTTTTTCACATGTGTAAGATGTGACACAAAACACTCTTAAGTAAATTACTGATAGGAAAAAAGAAGAAACTTATATTTACAGTTGAAGTCAGAATTATTAGCGCCCCTTTGATTTTTTTTTTCTTTTTCTTTTTTAAATATTTCCTAAATGATGTTAAACAGAGCAAGGAAATTTTCACAGTATGTCTGATAATATTTTTTCTTCTGGAGAAAGTCTTATTTGTTTTATTTCGGCTAGAATAAAAGCAGTTTTAAATTTTTAATAAACATTTTATGGTCAAAATAATTAGTCCCTTTAAGCTATATTTTGTTTTGATACAGAACAAACCATCATTATACAATAACTTGCCAAATTACCCTTACCCAGGGGTGGGCAATCTCGTTCCTGGAGGGCCAGTGTCCTACACAGTTTAGCCTCAGCCCTATTCAAACTGACAGTACAAACAATCACCATACATATAAAATAGAGAAAAGCAGGCTACTATCTCAGTGGCTACAGAGATAGTTGACCATCAGATGACGAGCATGAGATTTTTAAAAAAGTCTCAGTGTTGGTATTGTTTTTAGATGTCGTGGGATCTCATTCCAGGCTTTTGTGAATACATAAAAGAAAGATCTCTGCCATTACCGGCTTTTAAAAACTGTTATGGACAAACATCCATTCATTGCAGATCTGGTGGAACGATCAGTCCTTGTGTTAAGTTTTGGTACCAAAGCACAAAGGGCTGCTAAGGTAGCGCTATTTAAAATTTTATAGTACAGTTTAATCCCTGTGTTCATAATGTAGTTTTGAAATGTTAAAGCATTAGAGAGTGATAGAGCAAAACAGTGATGTGTCCATCCAGAAAGTCTATTGTGGATCTTATAGGCCCTATTGTACAGTCTAGCTATTGGCTCCAAGATATCATTTGTTGTGAGAGACCAGACAGGCAAACGGTAAGACAAGGTAAACAAGATTATGGCATGAAGATAAGTTTCTAAAACAGAAAAAGACAAATTTGTCCTAATTTTCCCATAAACAAATAGCTTCTTAAGCCTTAAAAAGTCACTTTAAGCTGTATAGAAGTGTCTTGAAAAATATATAGTAAAATACTATTTACTGTCATCATGGAAAAGATAAAATAAATCAGTTTTTAGAAATAAGTTATCAAAACTATTGTGTTGAAAAAACTCTACTCTCTGTTAAATAGAAATTGGGGAAAAAAATAAACGGGGGCTAATAATTCAGGGAGGTTAATAATTCTGACTTCAACTGTATAATATAATAAAATATAAACATAAATTTACATATATTGCAATTTTCCACTGTATGTAATATGCTAACAAAAAAAACATTTTTACAGATTGTTCAGAAAAGCAAGATGGATGTATTATTGTGTCTGTATTTTTTTTATCACTTCTTGCTATTTTACAGCTTATTGTGTCGTAAATTAGGAGGTTTTAGGTCATTCTGTTACTTGTCACGTGTCCTGTGTGAAATCGTCCTTTACAATAACTGAGACAGGGAGATGTTAAAGCAGCAGGGCAGTTCACCTAAACACAGGCACACACACACACACACACACACACACACACACACACACACATACATGTGCAAAAAATGAACACTTCTGTATTCAAATTCATGATGAAGTGTTATTTTTCAGATTTGACTCTTTTTGTCTTTTTCTTCCTGTAATGCTCACTCCCTAAACACACACACACACACACACACACACACACACACACACACACACACACACACACACACACACACACACACACACACACACACAGCTGGAAAAACGTCTGGATGGCTCCCAGTTATTCAGCAGATGGCCTGTGGACTCTGCTATCAGTCACCATAGTAACATGGTTTCCTTCTCTCTCTCTCTTTCTTCCCTTCTTTCTCTGTTTCCCCCCATCCATAGTGCCAAGAGAAGAAAAATGGCAGACAAGATTCTCCCTCAGAGGGTGAGCTCCATCACTTTGCCTTTTATCTGTGTGTCTGTGTTTGTTTATCCATGTCTTCATTTGGACAGCCAAGTCAAGGGTGATCAGACAGCACAGGTAATTCGGGTACTTTCGTTTTGGGTGCAAAAAAAAAAAGTGAAAGGCGACCAATGAGTGTCGAAGACTGCTTTTGTGTGTATTTAATGTATTCTGCTTGTGGAAAACGGTTCGATTTCCAAGAAATGTAAGGCTTTGTGTCTGTGTGAGTACTGCCACTCAATTGATTTGGTAAAATGACTTTATCATCATGTGATCAAGAAATACGCCACAAATTCAAGCAGTTGGAGGTGATGTTAGATTTTGAAATTGCAAATCCTCTCAGTTTGTTGGTTGGGTTTTTTTATTCAGGCGAAGCGAAAGTTCTTAATTTATTTTGTGATGGGGTTTGTAAAACGCTTGAGGTCACATGGGCAGGAGGAGAGAGTGATGCAACACTGTGAAAATCAGGAGAGCGTCGAGTTACAATTTTGCTGTGCATCACGCAAGGACACACATGATTTGTTTCAGTAACAGGTCACAAACGAGAAGCAGAATCTTAAACGGTTAAAGAGGTGCAAGCAGCTGCTACAATCTGACAAATGGTCTGTTAGTGAGTGAAGAGAAAGATCTGTAAAGTGGGCCTAAATTAATGTTGAAATAGGAACTAGGATTAGCTTAATTGTCTGGAAATAAGAAAATAGTTACTGTTTTTGTAATGCTACTTTTACCTCGAATCATTTCCAAGCTCAAAACAAAAGAGAAAGACAACTTGAAATATAGGACTTTATAGACAGTGGTCTTTTCAGGTTGGCAGTTTCAGTTGTTAATAATCTAGATTCTTATAACTTTGCTGATGATTGTAAAATGTATAGTTATATTTATTATAATCTGGGCTACAGTGATGGGTTGCAGCTAGAAAAACATCCGCTGTTTAAAACATATGATGGATAAGTTGGCGGTTCATTCTGCTGTGGAGACCCCTGATTAATAAAGGGACTAAGGATGACTCATACTATGCTATCTGAAATGTGCCCAGGCCCGTTTCCCGGATCGTTTGAGAATGTGAAGGCTTTAAATTGGGCTCAGGCGCAGTTCTCTTGGCCGACTGTGGCCCAGTTGGAAGTGGTGTGCCAGAGCTCGGTTCTCTTTCGTCGTTTATTAAAGACTTAAACCTCTCACTGCATGATTGCTGCACCTTCAGCAAACCTCCTAATACTTGCAGCACGAGGAATTTATGATGAGCATCAAAAGTTGCTGATCTGTTCGGTGAAATATTTGACTCAGTGTCACTGCATATCAAATGACTTAAACGATATAAAGAAATCTCCGCTGTGCTGAGCGAGAGCGCTACTTGGCTGAACAGCGCATCATCGATGACGTAACCATGCTCAGGCCTGAATGTAATGTAAGTGCGGCCCAACGGGGTAGATGAGAGGGGGGACAAGCATGCTTCGGCCCGGTTCAAGGCAACTGTACATAGTGTGAGTACGCCCTTAGCCAAAAAGAAAAGGAACGAGCATAACCTGGGCTATCACAGTTATTAATTAATAACATGTCACGCTGTGTAGACAACATCAAACACAACAAATATTGTAATCTTTAATAAAGAAAACTTAACACAATAAAACATATCATACACAAATGATATCAAAGAGAACTAACAAACACAGTGTTAGATGTACATAGCATAAAAAGGCAACTAAATGAAACGCATTAAACATAGGAACACCTGCAATGAAAAAAATTGCAATTGATTTTTATGCAAATGACATTTAATTGTAATAATTATAGAACATAAATTGTGTCGTTTATAAAGTAGAAATATGCCATAAAATTGTGCTATAATAATTCAAAATATATTAATACAGTAAACACTTATAAGCTCGCACTTCATTTTGATGGTTTGTTTGTTGAATTTAAGTTACATTACATCTACATGCCAACTAATTCTCATTAGATTATAAGTAGACTGTTAAAAATTGTCTCGTAAAAAAAAAAAAAAACAGTAAATTACTGGCAGCACGGTTGCTGACTGCCGACTGCTCTGGAATATTTACGCCTAGTTCACACTAGAGGATTTTAAGCCTGATTTGAGCCAGATTTGGAAGTTAACGAGCTCGCCGACAGATCGGGCTGTAATCGGGAAGAAATCTGCGGGTGCTCGGCGCTCGCCGCTCTTTATGTGTGAACTACTGAGCAACGCATCAACGAGGCTCGCTGACGCATCGCCGACACCTCGCAGACGGAAATCCAATATTCAGCATGCTAAATATTCCAGAGCAGTCGGCCGACTCAACCCCACGTGTGGTCAGATGTAGTGACGAGCTGCAGCCAATGAGAGAGCAGATAAGCATGAGCTGAATGCCTGTGTGTTCAGGAGCTCAGCACAAACATCTGTGATTGGTCAGAATGGGCATCGGTGCACTCGCTTCATTCTGCGTTTGCACAGACATGAGAGTAGGATATATTAACAGTGAAACTAGAATTCTGTAACTATTAGAATCACCATACTGCTCATTCTGACCGTTCTCATATAAAACGCCATATTGTCACAACATATTTACATTCAAAGCTATTATTGAGATATTAAAATTAAGCTTTGAATGTCTGGCATCATATTTAATGACACCATTACCCTAAAAATACAACCTTTTTTTGGTAATACAGCCTATAAAAATGTAGTTAAGATACTAAAACACTTAAAGGTCTTGGCTTTCATTTTCACTTTCAAACAGGAGCTATTTCACAGCAAAGAATATGCTGTTTTGTAAGATATCTGAAGTAAATTGATGTTTTTGCCATCAGAAAGTTTTGTTTATGTTAGCAGGAAGTTGCTAGGCAAGAAAATGCACACATATTTAAAGTCACAGTGAAAAGTATCAGACATGCATGCAGTCATTTTAACCAATATGGTAATTTAAGGCAGAAATGCTCAGTTCTTTACTGTTTTGTAATAAAAAAAATAACAATGTCAGAAAGAAATACACTGATAGTTAGAAAACGGCAGGGTGTTATAAATATGTTAGTTTTATTTCAAAGAGTTATAAAATTACAAAAATTAAAAACTCTCTGTGTATCTATCCACTGGAACCTTGCAGATGAGTGATTAATGCGCTGATAAATCAGCTGATGTGACGATGTTTTTAAATGCTTTCTCCAAAGCTTGAAACACTGTCAGTGATGTAATCAGCACACAAGCAGCCAATAGTGTTCAGCTTTTCCTGACGACTCCTCCCTCAAATTTTCATTGGCTGTGGTTTGGTAGCTTGAATGAGCTGATGGGGAATGAGTTGTTGTCAGATCATGTAGTGTGTGACCCCCTTCTTGTGGATCATTTACAGAGTGTTGTGTAGTGTGAACACCTCAGAGATTAAAAGACACAAAGTCAAGTCATGTAGTGTGAACAGCACAGCGATCTGCTGATGTTTAAAATCCTGTAGTGTGAACTAGCCTATATTTAGCATGCTGAATGTTGGATTTCCGTCTGCGAGGTGTCGGCGACGCGTCAGCGAGCCTCATTGATGCGTTGCTCAGTAGTTCACACATAAAGAGCGGAGAGCGCCGAGCACCCGCAGATTTCTTCCCGATCACAGCCCGATCTGTCGGCGAGCTCGTTAACTTCCAAATCGGGCTCAAATCAGGCTTAAAATCCTCTAGTGTGAACTAGGCATTACTGTTAAATTAACAGCATCTTGCTGTTGCTCTGTAAATTAACAGTAAAATGCTGGCAGCTGCAGTTGTAAACAATGTACTGTTATTTTACAGTATGTTGCTGTAAAAATACATGGACTACATTGATATACACAATACTCAAGTAAACTCATTTTGTTCACTGAAAGCAACTACCTCAAATTGGCCAACTGCTGTATGAGTTTATGAAGTAATGTGCTATATATGCTTAGAAGCATACTTGTAATGATAACTTATTTTAGACAATTAGAAAAGTTTAGTTTGACCCAAACTTCTGTTTAAACCAAAGTTCACAGCAGCACACATACATGTAAATCTGAAATTACCAGAGAGAACTGTATTAGTGAACTAGTCTACATAATAGTGAACAATGGTGCAAAGTGTGATTTCAAACACAGACTTGAAACATCGAATCTGAGCTTTGTTGATTCACAGTTCACTGCTGTTGGTTACTTTCTCAAAAACAAAAATTTTACCCAGAATGCACTGTTTTTAACAGAATATTACTGTTTAAGTGAAAAAAAAAACATTATTTTACTGTAGAATCTGACATTTGTAACAGCAATTTTTTACAGTGTAGGCTGTTAGGTTGGGGTTAGGGTTAGTGTAAGTTGACATGTACTTGCAAAGTTTCTTATAGTCAGGAGCAGTATCAGTAGATATTAGGCAGACAGCCTACTAATACTTGAATGGACCGTCAAAATAAAGTGTTACCTATAATGGCATTTTATAATTTAGAATTACTTAAATACTTCAGAACAATAAAATTTTGTAAATAGGTAAAGACAAGCCTTAAAAATAGGTAAAACATGTTTTTTTAAATAATGTTTTATAAATTGACCACCACAAATCGTAGTGAAAACCATAAATCAAGTTGCATGATTCATTTAAATACTTTCATTGCTTTCACAATCTCAACTGAAAATGTAGAGATGGCGGGATACAGTGTAGATCCTCCCTGTTTAAATAAACAGCCAATAGCATTTTGTTTTATCACAGCTCTGCCAGTGACAGTGGTTGAGCTCAAGTGCATCCAATGAAAAGCATTGGTCAAGATTTGATAAGAAACTGAAGTATGAGGTGATGTGAAAAAATCATTGATCGATTTAGGTGGAAGTGACAAACTATACGCTTTACATATTTATGTTTGTTTTATATCTCCTAAATGTGAATTTTGTTACTGTTTTGGAGCACACCGGCTTATAGATAGCTTTAAGACTAACAGACTGAAACTAACATCTAAAAAACATTATTTTGATGCTTGGTGCTACTAAGCTACTACTTTCAAATTAAATCATCAAACAAGTGGGCTGGACAAACCACCTGTAGGAGACACACTTTTTCTTCTCCATATGCACCAGACATTTTCAGATTTTAATTTTAGATTAGAAGGGCAAACTGCTTTGTTTTTCTTAATGGCCTGCACAGATGAATTGTTTACCACAAAACTAGCAATGTGATCTAACTAAATCATATGTTTAGTTTTGACTTGTTGGGGACTTAAACATCTTACCATGAATGCAGGTATGAAGTTATTCATAGACCTTATTGTAGTTTATTTTGCATAATGCCTTTTCCCCTTAGATTCGTGAACTGGTGCCTGAGTCGCAGGCATACATGGACCTCCTGGCCTTTGAGCGGAAACTTGACCAAACCATTATGAGGAAGCGGGTGGATATCCAGGAGGCCCTCAAAAGACCAATGAAGGTATGTGATTTGATTTCTGTGAGGACATGAAAAATGTGGGTGCAGCTCAGACTGTCTTCTCTTATAGCAAAAGCGGAAGCTGCGATTGTACATTTCCAACACTTTCAACCCTGCCAAACCTGACACAGAAGACTCTGAGGGCAGCATTGCATCCTGGGAGCTGCGCGTAGAGGGCAAGTTGTTGGATGATGTAAGCACTGCGATTGCATTTAAAAAACGTAACATCTGTTATTCATGAGTGTTTTTATATTAACCCATTTAAGCACACTGACAGCTTTAGGTGCCAAAGTTTATAGTTGCCATTTTCCTTTTATAAGTAATTTAATTTCTCAATGACATGCAAGCAAACAGCCACATATAATATTTCAAGAAATAAAAAAGGAATTGATTTGATTTGTCACAATTGATTTTGTGGCTTCCATTTTCCTACCTCTAATTGTGAAAGCGAAATGGAGGCAAACCCTCCCAAATAAAGGCAATTTTAATGTTGGTAAAAATATTTTTCTTTACAAATGTATATCAAAATAATCATGAAGGTCTCTAGATTCATCAAAAAAAAACTAATCTTTCAAGAGATCTGTAGTTTTGTGTATAGTTTTTTTTTTTTAAATGTTCAGGCAGCAACTACAGTTGCCGGTGGGCAACTACCTTGTAAGTACATAAATAATGGTGAATTAGGAAGTGATGTGTCAATAAGTTAATAAATCAAGGTTATTGGTCTTATTTAATGTTTTTTTTTCTTTTTATAAAACCCCATTTAAAAATAACACTTCAACTAATATCTTTAAAATAGACTTTTTTATACACATTTTGATACTCTGCAAAACCGTCAGAGTAAAAGGAACTTCTCCTACTGGTCCCTCTCCCACAAAGATTTAAAATAACACAAAGAATATTGAACTCCTGTTGTTGAAATGCAGAACCACTGAAGAAAACACAAAACTACAACCAAATTTAGTCACAACCTTAAGCCTTGCTGTCCACACAGACATGGATATTATCTAAATCACAGCTTTTTCTACATGGTTTGGATGTTCATCCACACAAAGTATCAGGTCACTGAAAACTTTTGTCAAGATGAAGTTTTTCAAAAGCACCAGGGTCTGTATTTTTTGACATTCTATACAGCTTAAAGTGAAATTTAAAGGCGTATCAAAGTTAATTAGGTTAACTAGGCAGGTTAGAGTAATTAGGGAAGTTATTATTGTATAATGATGGTTTGTTCTGTAGACTATCAGAAATAAATTGCTTAAAGGGGCTAATAATTTTAACCTTGAAATGTTTTTGAAAAAATGTAAAACTTTTTTTTTTTAGGTTTTATTTTTAACAGTTTTTATTCTAGCCGAAATAAAACAAATAAAACTTTTTCCAGAAGAAAAAATATTATCAGACAGACAAAATTTCCTTGCTCTGTTAAACATCATTTGGGAAATATTTAAAAAAGGAAACAAAACTGAAAGGGGGGCTAATAATTCTGACTTCAACTATACATTTCATATATATATAATTTTAAACTTTATCTTTTTGACACACAATAGTCTGTTAGACTGTTAAAGTGTGTTCTTCGTGTTTCATATATATCATATCAATTGGTTTTCAAATTTTAAACATAATAAAAGTGTTTATGAATATGAATTAATCTGTTGAAAGCAGTTGTTTTAAGTTAGGATGCCAAATGTTCCCATTCTATTAAATTTTTACATTGAATGGTGCTTACAACATATTTGCCCCCCAGCAACTATTGTTGCTGCGGATTCAAATGTGATTTTCCTGAAAAAAAATAAAAGTAAATGGAGAAAATAAATGCAAAACATGTTCATATAGGACACTATTAACAAGGATATATGCATGGCACAAATGGGTTAAATGTCAGTTTTTTTTATTTTGTTTTTATTTGACTACTTATTTAATTCAGTTCAAAATGAGTCCTTAAACAAGATATAATTGTGTTCAATGAGTTGGCATTTGTGTAATGGACATTTATTCAATCAAATTGTAATTGACAATAAATGAATCCAACTCCAAATAAACATAAGCAATTCATTCAGGTTTGTCTAAAACAATCCATTAAAATTCCTTTTCTTATTATTTTACTTCTGAACAGGCTTAATGTGATTGCATGTAACAATTTAATTAAGTTAACTGAATGTTTTTACTTTTTAAGGACCTATTCTGCTCATGCTAATGCTCGTTTTGTCTTTTATTCCGTTTGCACTTTAGCCTGGAAAACAAAAGAGGAAATTTTCATCTTTCTTTAAGAGCCTTGTTATCGAACTTGACAAAGATCTGTACGGCCCTGACAACCACTTAGTGGAGGTAAGCATTAACTCACTCGAAACATGCCAAGAAAAAGCATCGCCAACCCATATTTGATCATATTGAATCAGAGTTGCAAGCGTTTAATAGCGGAGAATCTAAGAAATCCTCTTTGCATTTCAAACAAGGTGAAGGACAGTCACAAAGGGCGAAATTATGTCAGATTTCAACCGGTCATGGGCATATCATGCCCTCTTTTGTGCCACTGATTGGATTGGAACGCAATAGAAAAGTCAGTGTCAAAAAGAAAAGTTCTCTAAACCATACTTCACGTCTCCACAGCAACGTGTTACATAAGAAAGTTGCCCATGACATCGTGAAGTGATGACACTGCAGCCGTTTGGGCAGCATCAACAGGAGAAAAGAAATGCATTTCTGAGAACAAACACTTATAAAACCGTTTTACAGAGCCCTGAACTGAGTGTCTTTGTATTCACCAAGTGTGTTTTACTCTATTTTAGTGGAGGATCCATTGTGCACAGGTGCTATTCAGACACACTCGGGCATTTACATCACACAAGGGAACCTTCCCAGCTGCCTCGTGCTCTTAATATTTATGCACTTTGTTAGGGACATTGAAGTCTTGGGAAGGCAGATTGACAAAAGTGGTCTGCGGCTCTCAAGGAGTGACCCCCCGTGCCTCCGGCCCATTGGAACGGACTGAGCACGTCGCGTTTGGGTTTATTCATTCAACAGCTCTTTAAATTGTCCTTGGTGATTGTGGGTTTTCATCACAACACACACCAGATTGAGGCGCGCGATAAAAAGAGTGATTTACCTGCGTAGAAGGACGGCATTGAAAAAAACCCTCCAATGTCAAGCAAAGCTAATTGAGTTGAGCTGTGAGTCATTGCCATTATGTTGTCTCTTTCAGATAGCGCTGAAACATGCGGCGAAAATTGGGGAAACGCAAGTGAGTTCGCATAAAGAGTCGAATCATTTTATTCCCTCTCAAGCTTGAATGTATCCTCCGTGTATTAAGAGTGCATAAACAGCCCATCATTTATATAAGTTATTACTTTTTTGGTTGTTTTAAAGTTTGCCACTTTATTAGTCAATGCTGTACACTTATTAGCCACCGTGCTAGTACCAGGATGGATTTAGTTTTATCTTTAATACTGCCACAAGGTGTAGCAAATTGTAGCCGAGTGTGCTCTTCTTCTGCTGCTGTAGCTCATCTGCTTCAAGGTTTGATGGGTTGTGCATTCAGAGATGCTCTTCTTCAGACCTGTGTGGTTATTTAAGTGGTTACTACTGCCTTTCTATCTGCTCGAACCAGGCTAGTCATTCTCCTCTGATCTCTGGCGTCAACATTAAGGCATTTTCATCCACAGAATTGCCATTCTTTGGATGTTTTTTCTTTATTTTATTTTACATTTTCTGTAAACCTAGAGATAGTATGTGTTAAATCTCAGTAGATCAGTCTGTAGTTGTGTACCACGTCACGTCATAACCAAATCACTAAAATCACCCTTCCCCCTCATTCTGATGATTTGAACAGGTCATATTGACTTTGGCTGCATGATTAAATGCGTTGAGTTGCTGCCATGTGATTGGAGGGTTTGTATCCTCATGAAAAACCCTGGAATTTTTAAAATAGCAATTTTTCGGGCTTAAAAATACTATGATTACAAAAAGTTTGGGAAAAGTCTCAGAAACATCTTTCGCAAATATAATCTATTGAACATTTAATTAATGATATTGGTTAAATTTCAATACTTAATGTTCAGACAACCTGTCAGTCGATTAGAATGTTATCACTCGATTGAATGGGCATTATCAGTGGTTATCAGCTGATAGATATGGGCCAGTAGGGGCCTTCTACGCCTACTGATAGGCTCAGAAAGCTGTCCATCCACATGGTTAATCAGCTAGATCACATACCGCTAAGGCCAGAATTAACGAGAAATATTTATATTACTTATTAAATTTCCCATTATTTTTATTTTATTAATGTCTAACCCTACCCCAACCTTAAACCCAACTGTCAGAGTAATGTAAAAACAGATCTGAATCTGGAGTTTTCTTTATTAGTATAGCTTATTAACCTTTTAGATGGATGATAACAGCCTTTTGAGCCTACCAGTAGGCGCAGAAGGCCCCTACTGGCCCATATCTATCAGCTGATTACCACTGATAATGCCCATTCAATCTAGTGATATCATTCAAAGCGGGTGGTCAGTTTGCCTGATGTTCTATGGCACATTTATAGCCAGTTTAATGTTTGGCTGTGTTTGGAAAAGATTACTACATAACTTGAGCTAGGGCTGCACATTATATCTTTGACCATCGATATCGCAATGTGTGTGTCCGCAATAGTCACATTGCAAGATATGCAGTGTTTAGTTGGGATTATATTTGAGCAGAAACCACAGGTTAAAACAAATTTTGTGGAGACCCTGTAAAATTTAATCATAACAGAGTAAATGTTTAATTTGCAAAGTGTTTTAAGGCCTGTGGCTTTGTGCGAATTTTAAGACAGATTAAAGCATTTTAGACGTTTAATAAAGATTTGTTTCGTTGAATAATTTATATAATGCAATGCTATTTTACATTTGATTATTAATTTCTGAAAACCGTAAAGCACTGTTTACTTCTCTTTAATCTTTGCTTCATTGTGTTTATGTATGACTGTAGTTTGTTTATCATATGTATATAATATCTTGCATTAAAATATATATGTCAGTCCCCTACAGAATGATCCCAATAACTCTAAATGAATGACTTTCCAAACAGTGCAGCCCTAGCTTGAGCTAAACCAAACCCTGGACATTCAAAGTGTAGAATAAACCTTTAGTATTTTGAACATGGGAGAGGAAAGATCACGGTTAGATTTATATGCTTTAACTTTTTGAACAATTAAAATGAACAGGTAGGCTGTTTCAAGTATACTAATGTAAAAGTAAATAAATGTGCATTCCTCTAAATGTAAGATAAAGTATATGGTTATTTTATGGCAGTGCATGGATTTTAGCTATTAAGATATTCTGCTGTCAATTTGATCATGGAATTTTATCCTAATTTTGCATGCCTACAATATTTTGTGGACCGTTAGGTGAACATTTCCCTGACAATCATAGAAAAATTCATGGATATTTATTGGTAAAAAATTGCTCAAACTCTGACCCAGAAAATGCTAGCAACCAAATAGTAAATGCATAGCAACCTGCTGAAAAACCACTGTGCTAAAAACACCATAGCAACACTCAACAACCAGTAAGAACATCTTAGCAACTGCATGCCCAGACAAAACTCCCTGCACACAGAGAAACACCACTTCAGAAAATACCAAATCTAGTTTGAAGTCGCTGCTTTCTTCTCTTGCAGCAGTGTTATATAATGCGCCTGGTGTTTAGATTGAGTTTGTGCTTCATCCTAACAGTGGCACCGCACCCCAACGACCCAGGAGACAGATGGCTTCCAGGTGAAGAGGCCTGGAGATGTAAACGTGCGCTGTACTCTCTTGCTCATGCTGGATTACCAGGTGCGTGCAGGAATTCTGCTTTATTATTAGCAGTGTTGGGGGTAATGCATTACATACACTCAAATGGTGTAATCAGATTACTTTTTCAAGTGACTAGTGATGTAATGCATTACTTTTCATTTCCAAGAAATCATCTTGAGCACCAAATCAATAAACAATCTTACTTAATCGACTGACCTCAATTGGAATCGCTCATAATGCCCTCTGCTGGTTTACATCTTACTTAAGTGACAGAAAAAAGTTTGTCAAGGTAAAGAACAGTCGCTCTGATGCAGTCTTAGTCACTCATGGTGTTCCTCAGGGTCTGTATTGGGTCCTCTTTTATTTATTATTTACATTTTACCTTTAGGTCATATAGTTCATTCTTATGGCATAAATTGTAATTTTTATGCTGTTGATAAGCAAGTTTATATCTCTACTAAGAATTCACCATGTCACCCAGATTCGATCTTACTAAATGTCTGCAAGATATTATTATGTGGATGACCAGTAATTTTTAAATGCCAGCAAAACTGAAGCCCTTCTGGTTGGCTCTAAGTCTGTTCTGTGAAAAGCTCAATTCTTTACTCTTATCTATCAACAATTCTTTAGTAAATTTTACAACTCATGCTAAAAGTCCTGGGGTTATACTAGATCAGTGGTCACCAATCTCGTTCCTGGAGGTCCGGTGCCCTGCAGGGTTTAGCTCCAACTTGCCTCAACACCTGCCTGGGTGTTTCAAGTATACCTAGTAAGACCTTGATTAGCTTCTTCAGGTGTGTTTAATTAGGGTTGGAGCTAAAAATCTGCAGGCCTCCAGGAACAAGTTTGGTGATCCCTGTACTAGATGGTATGCTTTCGTTTAATTCACATATTAGTAATATTTCACGATCTATCCGCCTTTTTTTCACTTACGTAACTTTGCAAGACTTCGCACTTCACTATCTCAACAAAGTATTGAAGTGCTTGTTCATGCTCTGGCGCCTATAAATTAAAGGCATTATTCTTATTCTTATTCTCCTTATTATTATTAACTAGTAAGATTTTCTTTAGCCTGAGGTTAATTCACTCACTGTAAAAAAGCTGGGTTCCACACAATTCCTTCTTGTTGTCTCAACACAAATCAACTAAGTTAGCCTAATTGTTTTTGCAAATTTAAGTGGATTCACATAAAACAATTGTGTTGTCCCAAAAATCACAATTATAAATTATAAATAAGTAATACACTTATACAATACAAAACTTTATTGTCAGACTTCCATCTATTTTTTTTTTTTTTTTGCATAACAGCATGATAAATACTCCTTACAAAGAGACAAAGACAAATAAAGTTTTCTTTTTATAATTTATATGGACCTTAATCAGCTCCAAGGGTCATGTACAAAATACTTTTTTAATTTCACTGTATTACAACTTCTTAATCGACAGTTAGACTTTAGTGATATAAATTCATGATTCAACACATGACTAGGGTTGGAAATCATGCTTCTTGCCAGCTTTATTAGGTTCTTGTAATATGAACGGTCATATAATTTTTTAGGAGGCTTTCCTCCTATCTTTGAACAGATTTTAATCTGGTTCATCAACTTTGTTTTTAGACTCCCAGACAGACTCATATATTATACACAATTACAATACTGCATAACACTCATAAGTACAGACATGAAAATTGTTCAAAAATCTTTTTTGATGCTCCAAAAGATCTAAGACGACACATAAAAAAAGATTCTTTGTTTTATGTTGTCACACACACTATCAATGTGATCTTTCCATAAAACCTTGTTGTCTATTATTACACCCAAATACTTATATTTATCTGCCTGTCTGATGTTTCCATTATGTATAACTACAGGTTTGTAGATACATCAGACGTTGTGGACCTGAACATGATTTCCTCTGTTTTTCATAGGTTAATCACAAGATCATTTTTGTCACACCACTCCACAAGATTATTCACATTTGCAATCCCGTAACCTCTACCTTGCTCAGTTAAGATATTAATACTGTATCGTCTGCACTGTATAAAATTATGTTCAATTAGTCCTGAGAGCATGTGTTTTTAGGTCATTGTTACTTATTAAACTAAGTTAATCATGTTGTAACTGAATTGTATAAGTTTCTGCAAGCTGTTTTTAGTCAGTTTCACATAATACAAGTTCAATGGACTCATAATTTGATTCAACTTGAAAATTTAAGGCAACCAGGATGTTTTTACAGTGTGCATGTAGTTTGAACAATCAGTAAAACTCATTTTTCAAATGCTTCACATTTCACCTGTGGGGTAAATGGGCTTTACATTTGTCAAAAATATATACTTTTTTATATTATTACAAGCATTGTTGACATGCAAGCCCAGTTTATATGAAAAAAGTAATACAGAATAATTTAGTCACCTTTTTTAAGAAGTAAAATTATTAGTGTTTGTAATGAATGCAGGAGAGGATAGCTTGTATGAGATAAACATTTCTTTTTGTGCAAGTTTGAGCCCTCATTAAAAATCGGAGATGCAAAATCAAATGTAAAGCTATAAAAAAGTTTTAGTTTTAAGATACTTATTTTTGTTTTACATAAAAAATTGTATGGCATCAAGTAAATCTGTGCTAATTACCATTTTATTTGCATAATCATAGCTTTAGCTTAATTGTCTTTTCTTTCTTGAAAAGCAGTAATTAACAACCATAGTCGGGTCGTTAAATCCTAAGAGTTTGATTGTCTTTCTTTGGTTCGCCAAAGTAGCTGTAGCTATTGGGTTAATGGTTGATTTAATTGCAGCAATTTTCACTTGGCTAACTACTTCCTGATGGAACGTCAGAAAACTAAAGCTATGTTTTTAAACAATGGATATTCAGGTGTAGAAGACGAAACAACAAAGCAGATTCTCATTTGAATGGTCGGCGTGAAATTTCCAGCAGTTTCATCAATGTCCAGTTGCATGACATGTATCCGTCTAATACTTGTTTTTAGATTGACACGGTGGCTCAGTGGTTAGCACTGTCGCCTTACAGCATGAAGGTCACTGGTTCGAGTCTCGGCCAGGTCAGTTGGCCTTTCTGTGGGGAGTTTGCATGTTCTCCCCATGTTCACGTGGTATTCCTTCGGATGCTCTGGTTACCCCCACAAGTCCAAAGACATCCGGTGTAGGTGAATTGAATAAACTGAATTGCTCTGGATATATGTGTGTGAATGTGAGAATTTATGGGTGTTTCCCAGTACTAGGTTGCAGCTTGAAGGACATCTGCTGTGTAAAACATATGCTGGATAAGTAGCAAAACTAGTGAAAGAAGATTAAGATTGCTACTATAGAAGAATTAGTTCAATTTCTCTTACATACTGTTTAAAAGTTGAATGTGTTTGACAGAAGTGGCTACATGTTTTAAAAAGAGTAACAGAAATATTGTTACGGCATCAAATAATTGGTTGATAGTCAGTTAATAGTCATTTTAAAATGTGATTTATTAATGGGATCATCATTACACCAGTCTTCAGTGTCACATGATCCTTCAGAAATGATCTTATCACACTGGTTTGGTGCTCAATAAGCATTTTCCCCCTCATCATTATAAGTGTTAATACCAATAATTGCTATTGTAAAAACCGTGACATTAAATACAATGTTCAGAATAGAGCTGCACAGTATCGTTTCAGCATTGATATCGCAATGTGCAAATCCATAATAGTCACATCACAGAATCTGCAGTGTCAGGTCAGTTTTAGTTTATTAATCCATTAGGTAATTTTGAGTGGGATTATAGTAGACCAGGAATCATGTTATGAAGTTTAAGCTTAATGAAGTTTTTCTTTTGCTTGTTTGCTTTGTTTTTAAGGCTGATGAATGTGAAATTTTAAGTGTGTATAAGAAATGATAACATTTTAGCAAAGATTATTTTTTTATTTTACACAATGAAGACTATGCAGTGTTGTTTATTTACATTTGATGATTTAATTTCTGTCTGTGAATATAGTTATAATTAGGCATGTAACTGATTATGGTTGATCCGGGATTTGTACAAATCACAACCAGATCACAACTCACAGTTTAGAACACGTGGCCTGCGAATTAATACATTTATTTACTGGTAGATTAATCCTAAATTTGTTACGATCACAGAGAGATAGCCTCTTGCGTCATTTAAATCACATGTATGAAGGCATTTAGGCTTTGCTGTAAAATGTAATGATGACAGTTGTGGTGGGTTGTGGTGGGTTATTCAGGATGTGGTGGGTTTCATTAAAGGTGTTTTCTGACACTACTTGTTTATCCTGCATTTATGCATTCGGTGTAAGCTGCACGATTAATCATTAATAGATTGGGATCTCAACACCCACGCAACATAAATTCTAAATAATGGGGATTTGCATATGTTTATTAATCCTTCAAATCGCTGCATTCAGATCTGAAAACTGAGTCTTTTTAGTAACTTATGAAGTTACAAACAGTCAAATAACACCAAAATACTGCGATAACTGTGTTTATAGTTTAGATAAAGCCACTGATGTTTATAGTGAAGATCAAAATCACCATCAAATGCATTTAACTTTAAGAAATAAAAATTGTAGGCAGCAATTACATCATTTAACCAATAGGTGGCAACAACCAGCCATCAAAAATATGCCACTGAATAATTCATAAATGATCAATCTAGCAATGAAACATAAAGTTTTCTGAGTGAATAACCGAATCATTTATTGCAAACAAGACTACAAATAAATATGGGTTGTAGAAATTATAATGTTAGATTTATACATTTAGCGTTGTCAGCAACAGTCACAGTAACAGGGATTTTTTTTACAGTACTGAATATTTTACAATTTAATATTTTATTCAGCTGATTATTTCTTCATTTTATTTTGAATAAAATGTCAGGTTCTCAGTTGTGTTTGTTAAAACCAAAAGTGTCTTGCAGGACTGTATTTGTAATAAATGGGAAGCAAATGACATTTGTCTCCTCGCCTTTTTGGCTGATCCGAAACCCATTATGTCATCCGAACTGTGAGATTTGTGATCCATTACACCACTAGTTGAAATTGATTAATGCAAATTATCCAACCTACAAAATCATCCCAATCAATATAAAATTATGAATTCAGTCCCACTTTATATTAAGTGTCTTTAACTACTATGTACTTACATCAAAAAATAAATACAATGTGTATACTGTGTTTATAATGTATTTAAGAACACTTGTGGTGCTTTTGAGTTGGAATAGAAGTTGGGTTATGGAATGGTTTGGTGGCATGGGTAGGTTTATGGGTGGGTTAAGGTGTAAAGGATGGTCAACAGTGTATTTACAAATGTAATTACAAAAGTTAAATACAGATGTAATTACATACAGGTATTTAAGCATAAGTACACAGTAAATACATGTATTTACACAATGAGTACATTGTAATAAACTATTAGTTCCTATGTAAGTACAGATTAGTTAAGGCCACTTAATATAAAGTGGGACCATGAATTCTTTCCAAATTGAGCTATTCTAATCATCTGGTGAAATTATAGGCCTATTCATATCGCAATAAATATCGCACAAAAAACAGAACATTGCGATGTCAATTTTTCCCAACATCGTGCAGCCCCAGAATAGTAGAATTTATTGTATTAATTATATCCAATATCATTGCTGTCACTTTAATTCACCTTAATACATGTGTTTAGTCTTTTGAATGCTTGTGTAAAATTTAACCTAATAACCTTTTTGTTGAATAAAGTTTGTTGATATGCCACAATTGAAGTACATCAAATGTAAAGTGTGGAAAGTAATGCAGTATTAATGTGGAGATTGAATAAAGGTATGATTCTGTTCTATTTCTAAACATCTTTATTTGGTTTCTGTTCTATATTGTTGAATTTCAGCCTCCTCAGTTTAAGCTGGATCCTCGTCTTGCCCGTCTGCTTGGCATCCACACTCAGACCCGCTCCTGCATCATCCAGGCTCTGTGGCAGTACGTCAAAACCAACAAGCTGCAGGATTCTCATGAGAAAGAGTACATCAACTGTGATAAATATTTCCAGCAGGTGCTGCCTTTCTTCTGCCATATGAAGGACTCTCTTCATTTTAGTGGTAACATTGTAATAGCAGTTTGTTTTTCTGTTTTTAGATTTTTGACTGTCCTCGTCTGAAGTTCTGTGAAATCCCTCAGCGACTTACCAACCTGCTGCTGCCGCCTGATCCTATCGTGATCAATCACATTATCAGGTGACTGCTTATAAATGTAGAATTGTTTTACTCTTTATCATATACACTACCTAAAAGTCTTGTCGTCGATCCCAGTTGTAAGAGCAACAAATAATAACTTGACTTCTAGTTGATCATTTGGAAAAGTGGCAGAAGGTTGATTTTTCCAATGAATCATCTGTTGAACTGCATCCCAATCATCACAAATACTGCAGAAGACCTATTGGAACCCGCATGGACCCAAGATTCTCACAGAAATCTGTCAAGTTTGGTGAAGGAAATATTAAGGTTTGGGGTTACATTCAGTATGAGGGCATGCGAGAGATCAGCAGAGTGGATGGCAGCATTAACACCCTGAGGTATCTTGACATTTGAGTTGCCCATTACATTGCAAACCACAGGAGAGGGAAAATTCTTCAGCAGGATATCGCTCATTCAAATACTTAAGCTCCACATCAAAGTTCCTGACAAAGAAGGACAAGGTGCTCCAGGATTGGCCAGCCCAGTCACTAGACATGAACATTATTGAGCATGTCTGCGGTAAGATGGAGGAAGCTTTGAAGATGAGTCCAAAGAATCTTGAAGTAATCGTTATCTAGAGGCCTTCGCCTTTCATATGAGACACTTTTGATACCAAATGATCAACTAAAAGTCAAGTTGTTATTTGTTGTTCCTTAAAGGTGGAGAGGTGACTTTCGTCAGGTAGAGTATATTAGATTTAAAGGGCTCCACCATAAAATGCAAATTCTGTCATTTGTGTTATTTATTCTCCACTTGTTTTAAACCGGTTTGAGTTTCTTTCTTCTGTTGAACACAAAGTAAATTATACTGAAGACTGAGTATTCCAGCCAAAAACAGCCATTAAATTCCATTTTTTTTGTTCCTACTATGGATGCCAATGGTTGCACTGTAAATAATATCTGTTAATTAACAGTTTCTGTACTTTGTGATTCACAAGCGTTTTCTGTTTATTTACAGAATTACAGTACTGTGTGATTTCATAGCTTTAAAATGGACAGTAAGTAATTATTATTTTCAGATGAACTGTTCTTTTAAATGCCTTTGTATTAACTCTATCAGCGTGGATCCCAACGACCAGAAGAAGACCGCCTGCTATGACATTGATGTTGAAGTTGATGATCCTCTTAAGGGTCAGATGAATGGATTTCTGCTGTCCACAGCTAATCAACAAGAGATTGCATCTCTAGACAACAAGGTCAGAAAGGACTTCATCATTAAAATGTGATATGAGCAAAAAAATTATTCCATGATAAATAATAATAATATTAATAATAATATGAAATGAATATATATAAATAAAAATCTAATATTGTTTTTTTGGCTTAACTCCATCACTAAATACAGAGTTGGATTAAATAAGTTAAAAAGTAACTGGTTACTGTAATTAAAATTACGTCTCATCTAAAAAGTAGAATAAGGGATTCGGTTTCTTATTTTGGTAATTTAACTGCACTTACATAAAAATACTTGGCTCATAACATACTTTACATACATTCTCTACATAAGTTATGCAGAAATCATATTAGAGAAGTTGAGTATTTTTGTTATACAAACGTATTTTGTGGTATAATTCAAATTTCTAGCTAATTCAGATTTATTATTTGTTTATTTATTCACATTTTATCAAGAAAATTAAGAAAAAATCTATTTATTCTATTTAATCTATTTATTTTTAAGTTTTCAGTAAGAACACCTGCACTGTTTATTGTGAAAACTGCATGTAATAATTAATGAATGTGCAAATTTAGACACACCTATTGTGTTCTAATAAAGACTATATTTGGACTTGTTATTTCACCTTTAGATCCATGAAACTATTGAGTCTATCAACCAACTGAAAATCCAAAGAGATTTCATGCTCAGCTTCTCCAGGGACCCCAAGGGCTACATCCAGGACTGGATCTGCTCCCAGAACCGGGACCTCAAGGTGAACAATGTGTACTGGTCAAAATCAGTCATATCTAGAATTATTCAATGCCTTCTTTATGTATGTCCAAAAAAAAGTAAGAAAAAAAAACACTCACCGTTTTCTAAGCAGTGTCTCCACCTAGTGGTTGAAAGCATGCATTTGCTGTGAAATGTCTTTTCTGCTGATTGAACTGGAATTATTCATTTAATCATTCATTCATTTTATTTTCGGCTTAGTCCCTTTATTATTTAGGGGTTACCACAGTGGACTGAACTACCTGGAATTAAAATTATATCTATTTTTTTATGTTTTGGTTGCAGCTGATGACAGATACAGTCGGAAATCCAGAGGAAGAGAGAAGAGCAGAGTTTTACAACCAGCCTTGGTCTCAAGAAGCCGTCAGTCGCTACTTCTACTGCAAGGTCAGAGGAACTTGTGATTTAAAAATTCAGTTGATCTAAACCAGTGTTTCTCAACCATGTTCCTGGAGGACCACCGGCTCTGCACATTTTCCATGTCTCCTTAACCAAACACACCTGATTCGGATGATCAGCTCAGAGACAGAAAGACCTCTAATAGGTGTGACAGACAAAGGTGACTTCCAAAACATCAGTGTTGGTGAGCCTCCATGAACGTGGTTGAGAAACACTGATCTAAACTAACAGTAAAGACAGTTATAATGCTTCAAAACGTATGTTCAGTCGCAATGATATAAGTTATATTATCTATATTACTTTGTCTACAAAAAATATAAACTGTTTTCAACATTTTTAATAACAAGAGATCATGTGACATTGGTGGAACGGCTGCTGACAATCTAGCTTCGTTATCACAGTACATCACAGTTTATAGTTTGAATAGTTATTTCAAAATGTAATAATTAATAAAAGTAAATAATCAAAAGTAACATTTTCACTTGCTATTTTGTTTGCTTTTTCTTTTATGCAGATTCAACAGCGAAGACAGGAGCTTGAACAAGCTTTAGCGATGCGAACGACTTAAAATAACTCTCAGTTTCGAGTATGAGCTGACAACTACTTTGTTTCTCCTTTGGCATGGTCAGTTTAATTCTGGTGGTCTCCCCATTGGATAGTTCTCCATGGGCACTGAAGTATTAGGCTCTCTCTCAATATTGAGATCCTGACTGATTTTAATGGGGGTCAATGAAAAGTGTAACTCTATTCTTATTTAATGCTTAATGTACAGTTCAATGTATATATAATCTCACAGTACAGTTAGGGACTGTGGCCTGAGAATGCCACGTTAATACTGATTGCACACAAATGCAGCAACTATTGTGATTGTTTTTACATGAGTTTTCTGATGCACACAAGGTGCAGATATGCGGAGAGGGGTCTGGCTGCAGACTTGGTGCAGATGCAATCTGAGCTGCATCCAATGCTTTGTATAGGCTCACCTAACCCCACTCCCTAACCCTACCACTCACAGTGATGTCACTAGCTCCATTGAGTGCATTGTGTCTGACATTGCATCTCTGAGCGATGCAATCTCAGCTTGCATCATAAAAACTGCATCCAGATACTATTGGATACGCTCTGTGGTTTCATTTGAAACAGCAACATTACAACGAAAGGAACCTTATGATGCCTAGGAAACTTTTTAAAACAGTAATGAGATGTTAAATGTGAGTATAAAAATGGAATCTGTCGTGTTTTTTTCTACATGTTTGAACCTTTCATCACATTGTGCTTGGAGTTTTCTTCTGTGTTTTTTCCGGTCTTTATATTTGCATTGTGCAAGAGAGTTCATGATGAATTGAATTCAGCCAGCTAACTTTATTTGCAATAAGTGAAATTTATTGTGGCGATGCGGTGGCGCAGTGGGTAGCATATTCGCCTCACAGCAAGAAGGTCGCTGGTTCAAGCCTCGGCTGGATCAGTTGGTGTTTCAGTGTTAAGTTTGCATGTTCTCCACGTGTTTGCATGGTTTTCCTCCGGGTGCTCCGGTTTCCCCCACAGTCCAAAGACATGTGGTACAGGTGAATTGGGTATGCTAGTGTATGAGTATGAATGAGTGTGTATGGATGTTTCCCAATACTGGGTTGCAGTTTTAAGCCCAGCAAACAATTTTGTGTTTAATAGACGTCTAATAGACATCTTAACATAGACAATCTGGCTAAAACAAGGTTAAACTTAGGCTGTCAGCGAAAATCTAGTAGACGTCTAAGAATAGCCCAAAATTAGACTAAAATCTACTAAAACCTTTGTGTAAAACATATGCTGGATAAGTTAGCGGTTCATTCCGCTGTGGCAACTCCAGATTAATAAATGGCCTAAGCCCAAAAGAAAATGAATGAATGAAATTAAATTTATTGTTGTCTTTTAGACACCCTTAATAATTAAAATAACACTAAAACAACATGCTCTGATAAAATAAAGTAAATCTCTCTCATTTGTCAACCTTGTGTTAAGAATACAGGTTTGTGTGTATTGTTAAAACGATTGTCAGACCCAATGCTTAAAATGATATTTGAAAATGTCTTCATTTTCAGAGGCTTTAAATGCCAGTAAAACAAAGGATGTTCTGAATCTCTTGTGTGTTCAGATATACAATAATGCATGTTGCATGTGATTATTTTTATGCATTTTTAAGTGTTTCTTTTTTAGCATGTTGCCTTATTAAATTACGGAGATGCACAGCAAGCATTAACCAAAGGTTAAGTACAGTTTCATCATCTTTGTGAATGCCAGTAAATGAATTCCATCATGTAAGTAGAGTTAAATCTGGTATTGCTGAATGTCAAAAGGTGTTCATATTCTGAGGCATTGACCCTTTACCTTTTTACAAGACATTCTTCCTGTGTTCTGTATTTTATTTTAATGAAGGTGCAGTGTGTCTGCTATTTTGAACATGATTAATAAATTAAATACAAGTTCATGTTCATTCTTTTCCATGAGTGTTTCTTTTGTCTGATGATTGGTCTAGTTCAGAAACCGGGTGTGTGCTTATTTATAGGTCAGTTCCCTTCATTTGATTCGTCCAGGGGAAAAAATAATAACTTCATTCATGGTTTGCATCATTCACACTGCTGTTTTTTCATTCTGAAATCAACATCTCTTGTTATAATTATTTGTATATACTTGTAATACTTTTATTTATTTTAATAATTTATTTGTACAATGATATTTGTATTTAAATGGCTTAGTGGTTTGTGGGTACTCCGGTTTCCCCCACAGTCCAAACACATGTGCTATAGGTGAATTGAATAATCTAAATTGGCCATTTGTGTGTATGTGTGTGTGTGTGTGTCAATGTGAGAGTGTATGGATGTTTCCCAATACTGGATTGCAGCTGAAAGAGCATTCGCTGTGTAAAACATATGCTGGATAAGTTGACGATTTATTCCGCTGTAGCAAACCCTGAAAAAAAGGGGACTATGCCGAAAGAAAATGAACGAATGAACTATTTGTATTTATTGTATATCTACATTCCTCTTGTAGTGTTTTTGTTATTTGTATGCACACAGGGTCTGAGAGTTCTGTAATTTCAATTCTCTGCATGAGGCAGAATTGACAATAAAAACTGACCAGTGGGGACAAGTTTCTTTTTTACTAAAACGCTGTTTTAAAATGAAAACGCACAAGTGTAAAGTGCAAAATGAGACTGTTTTCAGTGGTCTTCATCGTATGAATGTCTGGGTAGCATACATTTAACTGCACTTACAGAGAAATCACACTAGAGCCCAAATTTCAGTGCAAACACACCTTAAATGATTCATGTACTATATGATCCCATCACAGTTTAAATTACCTGCATGACATGAATTGTTCTACTAATTAAAATGAAGTCTAAATCATGCATAATATAGCATAGCAGTGCCATTGTCATTTCAGTATGATTCATATTATAATCTTACTCTCAATGACGTAGGTCATTCATTGCGTAAGAACCGAACATCAGGACACAGGACACGCCCAGACGGCCCAGATTGAGCCATATGCAAATATATAGGCGGTGCGTTATTATGTTTCGGCCTCTGATTGGCTGCCGTGCCGGTATTGGTGACACGCGCCTTGTACCGCTTGTAGCGCGAGCCATGAGACCGCTTCTCTGGTGCTAGCGCTTCATCGGGAAAAGAGCTAGGTAAGACAACGGCCTAAATCCGCAAAACTTATTTTTTTAATGTCATTAACCAAACCACCGTTGAAATTATCGATGTGTAAAAAAATCGTGTTCCATTTTCTTGGTTAATCTCGTTCTTTGAACGTCTTTGGGATTAACAGTCGAGTTTTACCGGCTGTTAGCTTGTCGGCTAGCTCGTGGAGGCAAAAAAAGATTTGCGTGCGCTCCTCGGCTATTTTAGCTTTTAGTTTCTTGGCTTAGTTCAATACTGTTATCATCTTATTTAATTACTTATTTGGATATTAACGTGTGTTATTCTGTGTATATGGAGTAAGAGTAATCAAAATGGACCTGCTTGAGTTAGCTTGTTGAATGGCTGATTAGTCGGGCCTTCACCGTTAACCGACATGCTTTATTCTCTTCGGTGCTCCTCTGATTTTTCGTTATATTATCAGCTATTTGTGCTTTTTAGACATGTTACAACATATTTGTGTAGTTTGCCGATAAGTCTTGCATTGTTACGGTAATGTTTCATAATGGCGGTTATTCGCCTACACTGCGTCAGGGAAAAGTACTGGCCGACTGTACTCCACGTGAGTCGATCCGGGCCGAACCACTGCCCTCTGGTGCCAGCAACTCGGTGGAGGTTAAACAAGACCTTAAACCAACGCTTTGTACAAAATCTAAGTGATTTAGAAGTGAAACCGAACAGGAAGAGCCTTCGGGGACATTGTGTACTTTGTAATGTTTTTCAATGAGAACATCTTTGTCTTGAACTGATCGTATCGTCGTTCTCCTCAGATTTTTAGGGGTGTCCTGTTGGGATTTGCAGTTAAAATGCCATCTGATTTAGCGAAAAAGAAGGCGGCGAAGAAAAAGGAAGCAGCCAAAGCTCGCGGGCGTACAAGGAAGCCAGAAGATGGAGTGAATGGTGATGCAGAGAAACCCGAGATCCAGGAGAACGGAGCTGCTGAGGTCAATGGTAAGGAGAACCATTAGGAGTCAGTCCTAACCAACAAACCTCTTCACACCAAAATGAATATTCAGTGTGATGATTGAGGATGAGAAGTTGTGAACTGACAGATTCTTTTCACACAGAAGAAGGAATAAAACTGGCTCACCAATTAGGCCCTGTTTACACTTGCTAATAAGAAATGTTTTGGTCAGCCAGATCACTACATCTGAGGCAAATTGCCAACTTCACCGGTTTAATTTCTGTTTGTCCTCTTTCATTTTCTTTACTTTCTTACTGGGGTAAGGGCTAGTGGTTTTCTGACCATTTGATGTAATTGATGTTCACAAGCCTGCTATGGCTCGTTTAACAGTCATCAGCATCCTAAATTCTTAAACTCTTATGTTTATGTATTTTTGATTTAATCTCTGCATCAAATAAAAAAAAGAATTACTGTACGTGATTATTAACTGCTTATGTGAGGTGTTTGTAAGGCAACATGTATGGGGCAGGACTAGGGCTGGGCGATTTGGCCTAAAATCATAATCTTGATTAAACATTTTAACTCAAATGATTATTTATTTTGCCTTGGTTCACTGACAATTTTTGTACTGTAAATACACTCACAATACACTTGCACTTTTGGAAACAGTTAAACAATTTAAGACAAATCTGTGTTTTTTCATATTAAAATAGAAAAAAGCAAAATTTCTAAATGAAATAACTCATATCTTGTAAATAATATTTTAAACTGCAAATTTCTTGCATCTACTGTAAACAAATCGTCATCGTTCTGGTATATTTCAAGTAAACCTCAAAAATGGGACAATTGTCCTACTTGACCAGAGATCAGATGTAGCTGCAAAGTGGCCATAAAAGTATTAATCAGCCTCAGCCTTTAATAGACTGGGGTCACGTGACTCTACGTGGCACATGCTGTAGAGAAATTTAATTGAAAAAAAAAATTGTCCTGGAAAAATTAAATAGATTTATTGGTTTTGAATGTTGATTTTGATTACCCTAGGCAGGATGGTAAATTTGACGTTGTTCTCTCTTTTGGCGGCCATTATCAGTCACCTTTTTTCTCTCTCTCTCTCTTTTTTTTCTTTTCTGAAAGTCTTTTGGACCACCGTCTAGTTTTTTATTTATTTTTTTACTTTTTATTTTAGCAAAAAAGACTGAAAAAAATGTTGTACACTCCCATTCACTGCACCCAACTATAAATCCTCCCACTACTGTGAAACTCTGAGGTGTGAAACGGGTCCATATTGTAAAGTAAACTTACACCATTTATGTAAATTGGAACGGACAAAATTGAAAACTATGCTAAGAGCAGGAGCTTTTGTTTCTGCTGAATAGCTGCAGGAGTATGTGCAAAATAGAACATGTTTGTGTTTTATGCCAGTTTTCAAACACATTTTTACAATTTTGTACAGCAAAGGTAAGTTTCATCTGTACGGAACCCCGGAAGGGACGTAGTGGAGGAGAAAAAAATTGGCTGGGTGAAAAAAAAAAATGGGTGAAAGAAAAAAATGGGTGGGAGGAAAATATATATTTCTAAGTTTTTGCCTTTCTCGCAAAACTGTTTCTCCACAAACACTTCCTGTTCACTGCACTCACGTAAACCCTGCCGTTTTTGCCAAAATTCACCCGTATTTTACCTTTCTACCCCACTTTCTTTACATTACTGTGCGTCGATTGTCGACTTTCATATGCTACCTCTGAACCAGTGAATGCATGTATAAGCGCTGACTGACAGACGCACTCCATACAATAAACTGATCCCAGATTGGCGTCTGTACACGCTATTTACAGAGGAGCGAGTGTATGTTTAAACAGACAAATACACTAATAATATGAAACATCTCCGTCCTGTATGTTTTATTTTAAACAGCTTATTTTCTCTTAGATGAGCACAAACAGTTTCTAAAGTAATGGACTGCTTTCATTATAGACCTATGCATTCTTACAGAGACACCTCTGTTATCAAACTAAACAAAACATGAGATTCATTTGCTGCTCACTTGTTTGATAACAGAAGTGTCCCTTTAAATGGTGCGTACAGACGCTGATCTGGGATCATTTTATTGTATGGAGCGCGTCTGTCAGTAAGCGCTTATACATGCATTCACTGGTTCAGAGGTTTCAAAGTGAAAGGCGACGATCAGCGCACAGTAATGTAAAGAAAGGGTAGAATGGTAAAATATGGGAGAATTTCAGCAAAAACGGAAGGGTTTACGTGAGTGAAGTGAACAGGAAGTGTTTGTGGAAAAACAGTTTTGCGAGAGAACGCAAAACATCTTTGCGAGAGAACGCAAAAACTTAGAAATATATATTTTCCTCCCACCCATTATTTTTCTTTCACCCATTTTTTTTTTTTTTTTTTCACCCAGCCAATTTTTTTCTCCTCCACTACGTCCCTTCCGGGGTTCCGTACATCTGGATAGCTTGCTTTATTAATGCATTATTTGGTGGATTTTAATCTTGTTTTTTCTGCCCCTCATAAATGTGAAGTCCAACCAAATTTAACTTAAAACAATTAAAATGCAACAATTGCCACAGTGACCTTTTTTGTGTTTGTTGTCATTTCTAAAATTTCGACAATTACATCAAGTGTAATGCTACATGATGTTACAAAACAGGTTTCTTTAGATATTTTAGCAGTGATTAGTTATTGTTGTTAATGTTGTTAATAATAAACCTTTTAAAACATTGTTGACTGGTGAAATATAAAAAAAACTGATGCTTTTATAATTTCCTGTATTCATAAGAAATATGTAAATTGCATTTTGTTTCTCATCATTCTTCATAATCCATTTGAATCATAGGAGTTGACAGTTTGGCGAAGGAGCTAGATGAGTTTGAGCTGAAGAAAACTGAGGCTCGTGCAGTGACTGGTGTGCTGGCATCTCATCCCAACAGCACAGACGTCCACATCAGCAGTTTGTCTCTCACCTTTCATGGACAGGAGCTGCTCAGCGACACTAGTTTGGAGCTCAACTCTGGTCGTCGGTACGGCCTTATTGGACTTAACGGAACAGGTAAATGAAGAGTCTGTCCATGTTGGGCTAATATCTTCTATAGGCTGTTTCAGAAATTAATGAAGGGCTCACACAACTGACTTGTTTACATTTTTTTTTTTTTTTTTGTGTAGGCAAATCCATGCTACTGTCAGCGATCAGTCACCGAGAGGTGCCAATTCCAGAGCATATCGACATCTACCACCTGACCCGTGAGATGGCACCTAGCGAGAAGACAGCTCTACAGTGTGTGATGGAGGTAGATGAGGAGAGGATAAAGCTGGAGAAGGAGGCAGAACGATTGGCTCATGAGGACTGTGAGTTTAATTGACATGAATTTGAACATTAAGGAAGTAGATTATCTAGAAACTTACGATCGTCAATGCTTTTTATCCAAATTGTGCAAGAACCACTGATGACAGATCAGCATTTTCTTAGATCAAATAATCATTGAAAAAAAAAATCATAGGTCAAATAGATCCAGCTAGCCACGTTTTCATAGGAGCTGTTTGTTTTGTAGCAGCTTCCTTTCCTAGGCGTGGAATATAAAAAGTCTCTGCATGAGAAGACTCCTTAAATATGTGCCGTTTTTAAGGAATCTCCTGCTGAAGGGACACTTGCCTTTTTTAATTTGTGAATAGAATCTAATCATGAAATTTGTTTAATCTTAGCTGAATGCGAGAAGCTTATGGAGCTTTATGAGCGTTTGGAGGAGCTGGATGCTGATAAAGCCTCCATGAGGGCCTCACGGATCCTCCATGGTCTGGGCTTCACCACCTCCATGCAGCAGAAGAAACTCAAAGACTTCAGTGGTGGCTGGAGAATGCGTGTTGCTCTTGCTCGGTGAGTGTTCAGAAGCTTATACCCTAGTTCAGAGCTGCTGGGAAATGATGTTACAAAAGGCCGAATGATAGCACAGTTGCTTTTTTGGCTAACTGTGCAGTGACAAAAACAGTCCGAAGCGAATTTTCTGATCCATTCTTTCAGTGCTGTCTTTCAATTATTCTATGATTCTTTGTTCACCTGTGGTTGGTTTTTCTGTAATCTTCAGGGCACTGTTCCTCAAACCCTTCATGTTGCTTTTGGATGAACCAACAAACCACCTGGACTTGGACGCCTGTGTGTGGCTAGAAGAAGAGCTCAGTCAGTAAGTCTTTAATTTCTCGAACCAGTGTAAGACTATCAAATTAATTGTTTCCTGTGGGTTGTTGCTGATGAAATGATGTAAACAAAAGGCCGAATTGTAGCTCTTCCAACAAGCACTTTGTTCTTGTTATGGTTGGAGCTTTGACAAAAACTGGACTGAAGCGTTTAACTGATCTGCTGGCACAGCCCACATTAATTATATAAGTAATGATAGTAAGTTATGAGTATTTAAGCCTATAAAGAGGTACATGTTATATATCTCTGACTAAAAGCCATAATATACACACAGTGCAGTTCTTCTGAACGGCATATACTATTCCAAGCCTGACCTGATTTTTGCTCAGAATGCCATATCACTTTGTTGTTCCATTTTATCACACTGTAACTGAGACCCCTTAAAATATTGCAACCATTGATGCTGTTATTTGAACAAACCGTTCTGAGGGCTGTACTGAATATCTTTTCCCCTGACAGGTTCAAAAGAATACTGGTTTTAATATCGCATTCTCAGGACTTCCTCAATGGCGTTTGCACCAACATTATTCACCTGCACCAACGAAAGCTGAAATACTACACGGTAAAGATTATTTTATTAAGCTCCTAAGCTAATATTGTGCAATTTCTAAGAAGCAGTGTAATTCACTTCATTATCTTTTGTAAAGGGTAATTATGACCAGTATGTGAAGACCAGAGAGGAACTGGAGGAAAATCAGATGAAGCGGTTTAACTGGGAGCAGGACCAGATAGCACACATGAAGGTAAATTTCCCATTAACCTTTGTTAACCTTTTACATCTTCTCTCCTCTGATTGATAATAATGTCTAACTGTGTTGTTGATCCTCAGAACTACATTGCACGGTTTGGTCACGGATCCGCAAAGCTGGCCAGACAAGCCCAGAGCAAAGAGAAAACTCTGCAGAAGATGGTCGCCTCGGGTCTTACTGAGCGTGTTGTGAATGACAAGGTATGTAAAAACTGCTTTAAAGTGTTTGTCAACTCAAACGAAGTGCTTTATGTTTAATGTTGTGTTTCCTTTTCAGACCTTGTCATTTTATTTTCCTCCCTGTGGGAAGATCCCTCCTCCTGTGATTATGGTTCAGAATGTCAGCTTCAGGTATTCGGAAAATACGGTACGCAGTCTCATTGAGTCTCTTGTACCATGTTTTACTCGTCTCTGTCCTGTTGCTCTGTATTGATCTTGCATGTCTTCTGTGTTTACAGCCATATATTTATAAGAACCTGGAGTTTGGAATTGACTTGGACACACGAGTGGCCCTTGTAGGGCCCAATGGAGCTGGCAAGTCTACGTTGCTGAAGCTCCTTACTGGAGAGGTAAAGGAGCATTTCAACTTAAATGTTGTTGTTTTTATAGTTTTGGGTTCATGTTTGGTGTCGTTAGTATCATGTTTTTAAAGGGATTTTCTTCTCCTTCAGCTCCTGCCCTCAGATGGTATGATCAGAAAGCACTCCCATGTGAAGATTGGACGATATCATCAGGTCTGTTGGCCAATCCACTTTTGCAATGACTTTCTTTTAAATATAAATTGATGATTGTGGAAATGGTGAAGATTAGGGCAATTTTAAAGGAATTTTGTACCACTGAAATAATCAGAAGGCTTAATTTAAAACATTTTCTGAATGAACAATTCAGTGTCTACAGTTTGATTTAGATTTTTAACCTTTTTAAATGAATTTTCTGGTTTTGTAGCATCTAACGGAACAATTAGAGCTCGACCTTTCTCCTCTGGAATACATGATGAAGTGTTACCCTGAGATTAAGGAGAAGGAAGAGATGAGGAAAATCATTGGTCGCTATGGACTTACTGGCAAACAGCAGGTATTTCCTCCTTTCCACCCACCCCACTACTTTTAGGTTCAGTCTACAAACAAAATCTTTTTCCTATGTTGATCTGTATCCTGTTCAACTAGGTGAGCCCAATTAGGAATCTGTCTGATGGGCAGAAGTGCCGTGTGTGCTTCGCTTGGTTGGCATGGCAAAACCCCCACATGCTCTTTCTTGATGAGCCTACCAATCACCTCGACATTGAAACGATCGATGCTCTGGCTGAGGCCATCAATGATTTTGAGGGTGGAATGATGCTGGTCAGCCACGACTTTAGGCTAATTCAGCAGGTAATGTAATTCTCCTGTTTGTCACATTTAGATGATCTGTGTAAGAAGTTCAGCTGACATGAGGTGTTATTTAAATTGTTCGTTCTTTGTGCGTTTCTTTGCAGGTGGCTCAGGAGATTTGGGTTTGTGAAAAGCAAACAATCACGAAATGGAGTAGGGACATTCTGGCCTACAAGGAACATCTGAAATCAAAAATTGACAAGCAGATGCATGATTTATAACCAACAGGAGCTGCTCATTGACCGCAGTTTCAACATCTCTGCCAGCCAGAACATTGCTCTCCAGGAAAAATACAAGCATGCTGTTTAGACTGCAGTTTCAGTACCACCTTTAACACGGGAGTCATTTACTGAGGTTGCCAGTGGAAGTAGCTGTCTCTTTATTTCTTCTGTGTTTTATATGCATCAGTATTTGGACTTTCCTTATGACAAACCTATTAAAATCAAGGTTACGCACTTCTTTATTTTATTTTTTTTTCTTTTTTTTTTTTTTCTTTTCTCGTCTTCAACTAGTACCGGGCAGGTCTATAGGACAAACGCTATAAGATAAACTAAACTTCATGGACTTTTTTTTTTTTTTCTTTGAAATTGTTTAAAGCTGTATTTGCAATAACTATGTAATATTAAAGACGTACAATTATTGATTTGGCCTGTGCTTTGTTTTGCTTTATTAAGTATCTTATACTTTAAATCTACTGAATAATTTAAGACTAACCATGTTTCCAGTAACCTAAAGTTTTATCACATTGGGCTTAATGTATATTATGAAATTGCGTTTTTGCTTAATATTAACATCAAAAGTATTAGTTGGCGTTTAAGTTGCATTTATTAAATGCACAATTAAAGGACACCAATAGCTTGTGACGGTTTCAAAGTTACAGTGAGTATGACACTAAGGGATATGAAATATGGTGACCAGATATACGTGTCGTTTTATCTGGCTTGCGTGGTTACACCGTGATATACATTGCTGAAGATATCATTTTACATTAAAAATTCTTCCATCATCGCTTCTCGCCGTCTAGTCAGTGTCGTTTTCGTTTCGTCATTTCCGGAAACACCGGATGTACGTCATTGGTTGAGTTCATTGTTTTTGCTTGGGAATAGCGACTAACGTTCGCCGTTACAGTAAGGTAAGTTAAAATGTATAACTCTGTCTGCAGTTCATTAGCTACAGCCTGCATTTGAACTTGTCGTATAACGTTATTCCCGAATGCATAACGTTAGTCCTCTCCTTCGCGACTGCCCAACAGGCTTGGAGACTATCATGGATGTGCGAGCTAAGCTAAGCGCTGTCAAAATACATTGCAGAGCTGTTAATAAAACTGGCTTCCGTTTAACGGCAGCCCTCTAACTTATCAGGTAACGCTAATAGTTTACGATAAGGACAGTTGTGCTGTGTGTTAGACAGCTCTGCAGACTCTAGCTAACGTTAGCCAGATTAATATGTCTAATGTTTTCTGTTTACTTCTGATATTACGTGGTAAATATAGCACAATTTTCACCGTAACATTAAGAATATAAAACCTACTGTATCATATTTGATAAACGTTTTTGTCATGCATTTGATTCACCAGTATAGTTATGAAAATGATCATGTTTTACTCATTTTCTGTTATATTTCTATTTGGAAAAATCACAAGATAAATGTCGTGTCATTTTGCTTTGAATTATTTTTCCCTTCTGTTCTTTTCGTAAAGTAAATATTAGCTTATAAAATGCTATATTTTTTATTGAACAACTTGGAAGTAACGTTATATTATTTAACAGCTCTATTTATATCTAGTTTAGGATTATTATTGGTTAGTCGTCAGTGTGCGAATTAAACATTGACGATCGGGGGGGTCAACTGTTTCCGAGTAACTGTTAGTTTGTGTAATACATATGCTTCAGTCATTTATGAATTAGTTTTTTGTTTCGTCTGACGTTTATTTTCAGCCTTGTGAGGGAAATTTAGTGTATTCTGACCGACAGTATTCCCCGATTAGCTAATTCTAGTGTCTAATTTGACTTTATTTCATGCTAAATCTAGATACAAACACCTATTTTACAAGTAGTAAGTCTTGTTTCTCGAATAAATTGAAACAACCCCTCCTCCCATACATCTTGTTTTGACGTCCTTCAGGGGGAATCCCCCCAACCTCCCTGTAGATTGCACCCTGCTATTTGTGTTGAAATGTGTTCTAAATCTTACTAAGACATCTCTGTGTCAGAGTAAAAACTGCTATTTATATACATTTTATTTTAATACTCTTGTAACTATATAATTGTTTTACATTTCAAGCAGAATATTTTTTTTTTTTACAGTTTCATACTGTAAAATCAAAGTAAGAGTTTATCTAATAGAATTCTCAAACATTTGACCTGTTATATACTGAACTCTTTACTGCATTTTCCTGACATATATCATTGTATGTCAGGCTTAATATAGTTAATTTCTAAACAGTATACTTAAAGATAAAAGAAAAATTTTAAAGCTTAACCCATCTGTCTCCCGCTGGCTGAAAATAGGAAAGGATCCAAGATTTAGGTTCATAACAAATTCATGTGGTGAAGAGTTGCCAAGTTCCACTGGTTCATTGACATCAAATATTAAAGCCAGCCTCGATGCTCGAATATCAGATCTAGCTGTACTTGATTTCATTCTCAGCTGATTGATTTCCATATCCCACATATATAATTTGTATATATTTCCATATTTCAAATTTCTTTGACACATTGAAATCCCACTTTGATATATTTTTTTACACCATTTTATTTTCAATTATGTACATTTGAGCAATTCATGCAAATGTCAACCTTGCAATGAGCAAAATAAGTTTTCACCAAAATAGTGAAACCTTTTCTTTTTTTTTTTTTTGTGTGTAGTAAATACTGTAAAAATGCAAAAAAAAAAACCCATCTCTGTCAGTGTTTTCAAACAATTATATTAGATTTACTAAAATCACACAAGTGCAAATTTGACTTCTGCCACATTCGTAACAGAGAGACGTCATTTCACATTCGTAACAAAGCTTTTTTTTCCCCTCATAAATGCAACAAATGTAATGTAATATGAAATCTGTAGTTTTTGGTCTAGTGAGTTTATCCTTTTTTAATACTATTTAATTATGGGACGTGCAGTTTAATTCACAGAATTTCCTCAAAGTATGTTGTTTACTGTAAACTTGCTAACTTTATTGGTCACATACATAACGCGTGTTTATTTTCCTCAATTAAATTCTAAAAGATATTTACAGATTGATATTTTTCTAATCCTATAAGTCTGCGGTTAGCTGTTTATGAAAAAAGCAGATGTTTCAATATAATGTTAACATATACTTTCCTTGTGAATTTATGTTTTGAGTTTTTACTTCAAACATCACGTCCATAAATGTTCAAATATATTATAAACATCTGTGAATTTATATGGCTGAAAAAAATATTTACATGCCAACCTATTTAAATTTGTTTTTGGAAATATGTTGCATATATGACATGTATTTTATTTATGTTAAATCCAAATAGGAAATTGTGTGTCATAAATGTAATTTAGGGCTCCAAAATATATAATTTCAGCATCAATATTGCAGTGTGATCATTCAGAATAGTCACATTGCAGGATATTCAATGTTGAGTCTGTATTATAATTTGTTTGGGTTTTTAGAGCTTGTGACTATGAGGATTTTAAAAGCATTCATGCAAGATAAATTGCAAGTTTTCAACTTTAATAAAGATTCATTTGATTGAATTATTAAAATTTGTATTGTTTAATTACTGTATCTGAATACTGTTAGACTCTGGAAACAATAAAACACTGTTTATTTCAATTGTATCTTTTTCTTTATTGTATTTATTTATTCTTGTAGATGATTTATTATATTTTATGCAGATGCACTCCTTTACAGAATCATCCCAATCAATCTAAAATTCCAAATATTGATATTAAAGTCATCTGGTGAAATTGTATTCATATTCCTCAATATATTGCAGAATAACAACACATCGCCATGCTAGATTTGTCCAATTTTGTGCATCCCTAAAATTTGATTATAATACTATGTGTAAAGTGAAGTTTATTCATAAACTAATTTCGAGAGGAGCACGTGATTATGATTGAACACGGCTGGTTCTGCATTAGCATGCTTGATCCACCAATCAGGCCATTCCTAACCACTATAAAGAGCCAGGGATTTCTCACTACAGTCATCTTCGATTTGAAGAATCCCCCCTTCCACCCCTACCTTTTCACCTTTCCCTCCATAGGGCAGCACGGTGGCTCAGTGACTAGCACTGTCGCCTCACAGCAAGAACGTCACCGGTTCTAGTTCCTTAACAGGCCAGTGGTCGTTTCTGTGTGTAGTTTGCATGTTCTTCCCGTGCTTGCGTGGGTTTTCCCCGGTTTCCTCCCACATTCCAAAAACATGTACAACAAGTTAATCGTTAAATCTTAATTTCAATACAGGTAATCTAATAATGCAGCATATCTTTTAATAGCCTTCAATCTTAATCTTTAGCTATTATAAAAAGGGGGAGTTGTCGAGATCTACCTGAGCTCGAGGCTCCCCTCTCTACCTCCAAACGGGAGGGAGCCCAGGGCTCAAGAACCTTCGGGCTCAGGGCTCTCTCCCGGGACAGCATGCCAAACTTGCTTATAATCAATCATCAGCTAAGTGTGAACTCTTGAAGTGACTGATATGTTATAGTTTTACAGTAGACCATGAGTCTGCCAGCAGCTCCACCCAGCTATGCTGAAGCTACAGCAGGAGATAAAGAGCAAGGATCTGGAAGCTTCACTTATGCTTCTCAACCGCCCCCAATGCCACCACCAACCATGCCCATGCATCCCAGCTGGGCTTACGTGCATCCCGGCCCTAGTAAGAGACATTTCATTCATGCTTGTTTTGGATGAATGTGTACATTATGCCTATTTAATCATAAAATGAATGTATTTCAGGTCCGGGATATTCCAACGCTTATGCTGCAGACATGTCCTCGCCCTTCTCTGATCCAAGCTCCAGCAACAGCTTCGACGGCCTCGGAAGCAACTGGGAGGACAAGAATATCCGCCGCATGTTTATCAGGAAGGTGTGAAAGTGCTCGTTCACCTTTGCTCTTTCCACTCGCAGTGGGCATTATTAAAGGGGCAGTTCACACAAAACTGAAAATTCGCCCATTTTTTCTTTTTATTGAACGTTAATGAAGACTTAATTAGTGATTTACTTGAAGTCTAGACACTTTTAGAGTAGAAAAAAACATAGAGACTAGACAAATGTATTACCTGTGTCTCATTATGATACTTTGAGGTCTTAAGAAGTTAAATGATTGATGTAGTGGCTGAAACATAAAAAAATACGGCTTGAAGCTTTCACTCCAGACTATTTTGCAGAGGCTGTGGATCACTTGTTAGAATGCTGTAAATGATGTTCAGTTTCTTGCACAGGCTGTTTATTTCACTTCATTAGGCAATAATATGTTTTATGTTTTATAAAATTTTTAAGCCAATAATCATTAGTCTGCCAAATGACTAAATGTAAATGCCGGACGTGGGAGGAAGGCCCAATCCTAATTCTACCCCTTAGCCCTTCCCCTTACCTCTACCCCTCATTTTGCTGGTTCACGTGAAGGGGTAGGGGTATCCTAATTGTCTTTAGCTTGAAGGTGTAGGGCTAAGGGGAAGGGCTAGACATCCTTTTTTAGGACCACACTCCAAACCAAGGGGTAAGAAAATTTCCAAGAATACACTATCTACAACGGCAGCATGGCTGCACAGATATAACCGCTTTTGTGTTTTACCGTCTTGCTTTAAAAAAAAACCTGCTAAAATGAAAGCCCCTAAATTTCGTGGTCCCTTATAATAACTCCTGTCCCACAACATTCTGCCACTCGATGACACTCGAATACCCTGTCAGTAATGTCTAGTGGCTGGGAATGAGCTTTTTACAGCGTCTGCTGTAATGTTAATGTTGTTAACACCCCACCAGATTTATTGCGGTGCAAGAAATTTTTTTCGAAAAAAGCGCTGGAGCGGTCGGTAACTCTGATGTAATTTGAACAGGAGCAAGCGTTTGTTTGTTTGTTTGTGTGTGTGTGTGTGTGTGTGTGTGTGTGTGTGTGTGTGTGTGTGTGTGTGTGTGTGTGTGTGTGTGTGTGTGTGTGTGAGAGAGAGAGAGAGAATAAGAGAGAGCGTGATGCTGTGTGTCGCTTGGTGCTCTCTCTCTCTCTCTCTCTCTCTCTCTTTCTCTCCCCCGCGCAGATCTCTAATACAAACAAGACAAACAGATGATCGTGAACCTAAGGTCGCAAATAAAATAAAAATTCGGACACCGCCTAAGCCTAGTTTACATTGATGAATATGGTGTAGATGCACAGTACAGTTACGATCTTATCGCCACATAATATTGTTATGATAACATGACATTGTTGCCTTCGGTGATTTCCTGAAGGTAAATACCAAAAAATAAAGCAACTGGAATAACTACAGCAGTCGTGATCGTCAATCTCATATAATGCAGGAGATCGCGATGACATATGATAACGTGTGCAGGTGTTGTAGTGCTGTCCCATTTTTTAGGGGTCAATTTTGAGCTCTTCCTTTTTACAGTCTTTTTCAAGGGCCAAGGGGAAGGGGTAGGGGTAAAAAAATAAAATTGGTATTGGGCCTAAGTCACACACGTGCAAGTCACAAGCAAGTCTCGAGTTATAACGTTCAAGTCTCAAGCAAGTCAAGTCTGTTTTTGTCTGACTCAAGTCAATTTAAGTCAAGTCATTTAGTCAAGCAAGTCACTTTCAAGTCAATTAAATTGTTGTCGATTTTAAAGTTTTTGCTATTTCTTTTGCAATTTTTTATATTCAAATAGTATAAACTTTGATTAGCCAAGACGTAAGCTGAAAACAGCAGAACTAAACTTGTAACTTAAAATTTTTGGTGTGATTTGAAGTGTTGAATGAAATTAGAAGTGGTAGTAATTGAATCGCTGATTTTTAGGTTGCTGATTTTGTCTTCTTGTTGATGTCTTGCTTGTAATCTTTAAACCTAAATTTAATTATTTTTGGCAGAGCGCCTTCCATTTTCCATCACAGCATGCTCTTCATCTGATAGCCAAATAGCAACAACTGAATCGTTCTAATGAATCTGAATCATTTAAGGTGGTTGCTCTTAATAACCCGATTGATTCAGTTCAGCAAATCCAACTGATTCTTTTAAAATGGTTTTTTTAGAAACACTAAACCACAAATTACTTAAAGTTACTTACCTTTTAACTTGCCTGGCACTTCCTCTGACATGGAAAAAAACAGTATCATGAGTTTTCCACTTAAAATCATCAACTTGAGTCTGAAATCTGTTGCAGGGCTTTTATACAGAACAGTACAGAGAACCTATCTTTTGGACCGATTTGAGAACCAATGTGCTGATAATACTGCACATGCTTGACTTAGAACTTTCGGGATTTTTTTTAAAGAATGCATAACATATAACAAATGGTTATGTATTTAATAAAAACAAGTTATTTCAATTCCAAGTAGAGTCTCAAGTCATGACAATCAAGGCTCTAAGTCGAGTCTTTTTTGGATATTTGTCAGGCAAGTCTCAAGTCCTAAATTTTGTGACTTATGTCTGACTCGAGTCAAGTCATGTGACTCAAGTCCCCCACCTCTGGTAAATGTAATCTTTAAACTGATTAACTAAAGATCAACTGATTAACTAAAAGATCACCATTAAGACATTTTGTAAATTTCTTACTGTAAATAAATGAAAACATTTTTTTAAAATTTGTAATATTACGCTATCCATGGGTCAGGAATTTCTGCAATATCGTGAAATGTTAAAAGGTTTTGCTGATTGTTATGGTTTGACTTTTTTTTATTGCGATTTTTATTCTTTTCCAATTTGCAAATACGCAATCAAATGCATTCAGCAAGCTGGACCTGTTAAAATACATTTGTTTGGTCAGTGGGCCAGTGCTCTTGAGTCCCTTATAGATTTTGTGGGGAAAAATGGCATAATTATTACTGTCACATGATTGATTTAAACAAGAGTGTCACACACTGAAGATTGTGTTTCTGAAAGGCATCCGTCTTGTTTGCAGGTCTTCTGTATTCTCATGGTACAGCTCATGGTTACGTTTAGTGTGGTGTCGCTCTTCACATTTTGGTAATTGACACACACATCAGATTACATGACATAACCCCATTTTTATTTGCTTATTCTACTTTTTAAAAAGGCAACTGTCGCTGATGACCCCTTGTTTTTCTACAGTGAGCCGGTCCGCAAGTTTGTACAGTATAATCGGGTTTTCTATCTGACCTCATAGTAAGTGCTGCTCTCTTTCATCTTTACATGTTTAATGCTTGAATGATTATATTTACAATGTTGTCATTATATGTTATTTGCTAATTTGATCACATTTACAATTGCTATATTGTCCTCCGAGTGACACTGATTTGTTTTGTCCAGCATGACTTTCATGGGAACATACCTGATGCTTGTATGCAGCACAAACGCAAGGTAAACAAATAGTGTTTGTTATACCTTATTGCTACCTTCTGGATTAGTTCTCAACTGTTCTTTGATATCTAGTACTTATCAATGAGTGTTTATGTTTCATCTGCAGGCGAAGATATCCTACCAATATGATCCTTCTAGCCATTTTTGTAAGCAATCTCATTGTCTCATTAATATGTTGGTTTATATTAATAAGTATTAACTATCATTTCTATAAATGTTGTATAATTATAAACAAATTAAAAAAAATTTTTTTGCTCTTTTTTCAGACTTTGGCAATGTCCTATATGGCAGGCATGCTAGCCAGGTGAGTGTTATATTATTATATTATATTATATTATATTATATTATATTATATTATATTATATTATATTATATTATATTATATTATATTATATTATATTATATTATATTATATTATATTATATATCATATCATATCATATCATTTTATATCATATTATATTATATTACATTATATTAAAATATATTAGTAATAAAGGTAAGACATTCTTTATAGTTATTTAGAAAATATATTATTAATATTCTATGCTCTCTGGATACCATATAATTTTATGAAATTATATATTTATATATTAATATATTGTTTTAAATATGAATCAATTGAATTATCAATTAGAAGACTTAGAAATTAAGACTATAGTTCTTTTTAACTAAATGTAAATTTTAATAAATTGAAATAATTGCAGGACAACTTTCAGTTTTTAATCTCTCTCTCTCTCTCTCTCTCTCTCACTCTCTCCTCTCTCTCTCTCTTTCTCTCTCTCTCTATCTTCAGCTATCATAATACCAAAGTGGTGATGCTGAGTGTGGGCATCACAGCTCTGGTGTGTCTGGCCATCACTCTCTTCTGTTTCCAGTCCAGGGTGAGCAATTATTTTTTGTAAATCAGTCTTTTCGAGTGCTTTCTTTATGTGTCATTTGACCAAATATTGTGTTCAGGTTGACTTCACCACCTGTCATGGGCTGCTGTTCTCTCTTATGATGGTGCTGATGATCACTGGGCTTCTGCTGTTCTTCACTGCTCCATTCGGATATGTAAGCCGCTGACATTTGAATGCTGTAAATTGTGTTGAAGCTGCTATTTGTGCTCTGTGTTAGAATCTTTTAAAATTGAAACACCACAATTACTGTTGATTTTTTAAAAATGTATTTTCTTTTTATGTTTTTAAAAAACATTACTTATCCAGCAAGTTTTTACGCAGCGGATGCCTCTCTCTGGGAAACACACACATTCACACACACTCATACACTACGGTCAATTTAGCCTACCCAATTCACCTGTAACGCCTGTCTTTGGACTGTGGGGGAAACCGGAGCAACCGGAGGAAACCCACGCGAACACAGGGAGAACATGCAAACTCCACACAGAAATGCCAACTGAGCCGAGGCTCGAACCAGTGACCCAGCGACCTTCTTGCTGTGAGGCGACTGCACTACCTACTGCGCCACTGCTTTGCCCCATGTTTTAAGATACCATTTTTTAATTTGTTCATTATTTATGGTTTCATTATTTATTTTTAATGTTGTTGTACTCACAACAGCTCACCAAGCCTGCGTTTTACTAATAAAATTATTATGGAAATGTTATATTGTGAAAATTAATTGCAATTTATTACATTTAAAATTCATTTTACACTTTATTTATTTATTATTAACAAATGTTTTTAGTCACTATTTTCACAATATTGTACATTCACAATATTGTTTATTCGCAATACTATATTTTTGTCAGTAAAATGCAGTCTAGGTGAGCCTTTGAATATTAAATCGATAAAATATGTATGGTATTATATACACACACACACACACACACACACACACACACACACACACACACACACACACACACATATATATATATATATATATATATATATATATATATGAAGATTTCAGATGCAGATGCAAAAACGTCTTAATGGCCGTCTGAATTTTTCTTTTAAAATAAGCTTTTTTCCTCAGCCTCCGCTGTATCAATTATGTTCAGTATTCAGTAATGTTAAACTATTTTAAATATTATAATAAATTTCAGATGGCACTTAAAGGTTTTGCATCTGAACTTATGATATTGTATTATATCAAAACCATTTGATATTGGGCCATCAATATTGTTTTTCCAATTAGAATGTCTGCTGCTGTCTGTTGTTTTGGTTACAGAATTTCTTGAATTTTCATTGCCCATCTTAAGCCAATCATAATCGGGAAATTTCCCCAACCAATGCAGAGCCCAGGGGGTCAGAGTGAGAGCGCTCCAGCTTGGCCCCACCCTGATCCCGCATAAAGGTTTTATCTGGAATCAGTTGAAGTTCAGAAAGCAGTATTCTCATTATCTAAAGAGGTTAAAATTAAAGACTTATTTTTTAAAGCAGTGATTCTCAACCAAGTTTCTGGTGGACCACCAACACTGCATGTTTTGGATGTCTCCTTTGTGTCCCACACCAAATACAGGTATTCCAGCATCTGCTAATGAGCTGACGATCTGAATCAGGTGTGTTTGGTTAAAAGGAAGACATGGAAAATGTGCAGAGCTGGTGGTTCTCCAGAAAAGAGGTTGAGAAACTGTTTTAAAGTGACTTGACATTTCAATTTATTGATTGCATGGTTTCACCACTAAGTGGAGACAAGTAGTTTAAAAAGTATTTATCATTGGGGTGCTTTCACACTGAGTTGGATAAGAATAATTGGTTCTGCCTTGCATTGCTTTTCTTCTGATCCTAACTGCATTAGTTAGGCTACGTCCACACAGCAACAGTTTTTTTTGTCAGGACTTTTTTCTCAGCCTCCTTTGTTTCAATTATGTTCAATAATGTTCAATTAGTTCACTTTGATGCGTGTGAAAAGAACACATTCTTTGCCGTTACTGAACCCATACACAGGAGTCTGAAAAAACAAACCCTAATTTGAATATTGGACCAACAATATTGTTTTCTCAACTAAAATGTCTCTTGCTGTCTGTGGTTTCAGATACCCTGGTTGCACACTGCGTATGCTGGATTTGGTGCGCTGGTTTTCACTCTGGTTAGTTCCCTTCAACTATGCTGCACTGTCATATCTATGCACCTCATAGAAGACCTCATCATCCTCTTTTTGTGTGTGTTTTAGTTTCTGGCATTTGACATGCAGCTGCTGATCGGCAACAGGCGGTACTCGCTGAACCCAGAGGAGCACGTGTTTGGAGCTATCTGCCTCTACATGGATGTGGTCTACATATTCCTGTTTTTCCTTCAGCTCTTCGGGAGTCGTGAGTGAGCGAGGCGTTGACATGTCCGGCCTCAAGCTTTTGTCCTCTGTTACACACATACACACACAAACACACACACACACTGTTCTCAGTTACTCCAAGGTTTGTTGAGGAGTAAACAGTCTTCCTTCTTTCTGTGTGGCTGTTGAAGTTTGATGTGTGCTGTTGTTTTCCTTCTGCTCATGGTTCAGGCAGCTCTTTGCACACCTCGCTGCAAGATAACCATACAAAAAAAAATGGATTCACACACATATGCTGTTCAGGGTAGACAATCACTGCACATTAGACCTGCACGCGTCATCGTTAAAAGATTGCAGTCGTCATTTATGTGCCGTCTTATTCCTAAATGATGAAATTCGGCTGTTTCTGTTAAACCTTTGACAAGTACCATCACAGCAAACATTCAGATTGGCGTTCACACAGAGATAGTGAGAGTCGTTAATACGTAGTGTCAGCTTCACAAACAAAACTTCAGTGTTTTTGTATTATAAAAGTAAAATTATTAATACAGATTAAATGAATAAGTTGTGAGGTCAAAAATGCATGAGTTTGATCAAAATATGTGTCAACAATAGTGGCTTAATTACCAGATTTATTAGGTTAACTTTCACATCTGAAATGAAACCTACTGGAGGTCACATAAAGGTTTTTTTAATTCCCTGGTTCTGCTGACTGCACTTCCTCAATTTTCATTGCCAATGTTAAGCCAGTCAATGGTTCTATTTTGAATTTCCCCAACCAATGCAGAGCTCGGGGGATTAACGTGAGAGCGCTTCAGCTAGGCCCCACCCTAATCCCGCATAAATGTTTTATCTGAACTCAGGTACATTTGAAGTTCAGAAAGCAGTATTCATATTTTCTAAACAGGCTAAACTTATAGACTTATTTTTTAAAGCAGTGGTTCTCAACCATGTTCCTGGAGGACCACCAACACTGCATGTTTTGGATGTCTCCTTTGTCTCCCACACCCATTACAGGTATTTCAGCATCTGCTAATGAGCTGACGATCTGAATCAGGTGTGTTTGGTTAAAAGGAAGACATGGAAAATGTACAGAGCTGGTGGTCCTCCAGGAAAGTGGTTGAGAAACAGTGTTTTAAAAGTGACTTGACATTTCAATTTATCAACTGCATGGTTTTACCTGTAGGTACAGACATGTAGTTTAAAAAGTATTTATCATTCAGGGTGCTTTCATACTGGGTTGGATATGTTTATTTGGTCCTCCTTGCATTGCCTTCCTTCTGATCCTAACATTAGGAATGAGTGGATGAACTGCATTACTTGGGCTACGTCCACACGGCAACAGTCAGTGTTACATCCATACATGTAAGAAATGTCTGCTTCAACATGGCAATAGGAGTTAAAACTGGGTTAAAATGGTGTAAAATGTATAAAGCCCTTCTTTAGCACATTGAGTATAGACATAAATATAAGTAGATGCTGGTGCACTCGCACACGATGCTGGTTGTTGTAATAGTGCTAATAAACATGGCAGCACCTGCAGCATAAACACAGCTCCATAATCTAACATTGTTGTTGTTATGTGCAGGGAATTCACTTCTTTTGGTTATGTAGTACGATGACGTCATCATTTCCAAAAAGTCGCTGCGTTTTTGATTTTCCGACTTTGTAACCCGTTATCTAAAAGAAATTTGTTTCAGGGCTCTGACAATGCCCAAACCGTGTTAAACTTTTGTGCATTGACATAAATCTGTTGCCGTGTGAATGCTGCTTTAAGAACTTGGTTCTTAGTTCACTTCATTTTACTAGCGATTTGTTCACAAACAAGGTATAATTTAAAGAATAAAACTATAAGAAGATTCAATTGAATCCAACAGTAATATTGCACCACATATGTGTGAATTATTGTATTTATAATGTGGTGGTCACTATGCTTTGTCTGTCATTACAGATTATTTGATGTGTATTTATTTAGCATTCATACTTATAAGTATTTATGTGTGTTTAGCCTAATTCAGTGCAACATTCATCTATGAAGTATGTAGACTGACAAACAAGTTGGTGGAGGAGTCCTTTTAAGTTTTGGCATCTAGTCTTAAAGACATTGCAAATTAAAAAAAAAATGTCAGCTAATCAAAGCAGTGTGTAAAACCATACAAATGGTCTATTCCAATCAGGGGAGACAAAATAATACAGAAAATTGCATTTTATTCTAAGTGTAAAAATCTTAAATAACTGTGTAACTGCCCTTTAGAGAACAGTCAAAAATAAATAAGACCCCTAGATAGAAAGCACAGGAGAAAGCAGTGAAATGATTTGTGACTGCTGTTTTCTTGACTCAAATAAAACGTTTGGAGTTTGAAATTTTAAATTCAAAGTGCCAACACAGATTGTCACGTGTCTGTTTGCCACAAATGTAAACAAAGGCTTAAAAGAATGAGAAAAGCTCATTTCTTTCAAACATAAGTCTCTGCTTGCAACCCATCGAAGTTATATTGACTTAGGTACAGTTTGAGATCCTGCAATCAGTGTTCTTATTATCTAATCAAGCTAAACTCTGACTTTAAATGAACACAGGTATACATCAGCCGTGTGTGAAAGCCCCCTGAATCCTTCATTCAAGCGATTCGATTAAAAAGTCTGATTTATTCAGTAGTGAAAAAGTGTCTTCGTGAGTGAGTCATTGAATCGTTTATTCAAGGTATTATTTGACATTTCATACAAGCCTCTTGTAAATATTATTTTGTTTAGCTGTCTATTCAGCATCATGGGAGTAAAATAGACGATAGTGACAATTTAAAGCTTTATTTAACATTTGAATATCGATCCAACGAACATTTCATGTGTTTTCAGTTCAAGTGATGAAATTTCCTGGATCGTCTGCATGAAATGATGATCAGAATTGCAGCATATGATAATCAAATGATTGTGTGATTAACTGGGGAATATAGTGACAGTACTTGTCAATGGTTATGATCCCTTTATTTGCACGTTGTATAGTTGAAATAAATCTTAAAGCTGACGGGCAACTCTTTGCTGGCGATCACTAAATGTACAACAGTCCTTATTTTTGTCCATCGGCAACATTGTGCAGTGAATTTATAATTATACCAGAACCAGACAGTCCTGTGTTTGACAATTTGTTTTCTTTTTGTGCAATAATCTGCTTTTGAATGAGGGACAGAAACTCACTGCGGTCAGTAAATATTGTGTGCCTCTCTGAATGCTGGTTGATAATGAGGTATCAGTGTTGTTGTATGCAGCCAACGCAGATTTATATATATAATAAAAAAAGATGTGTGCCAAATATAACTCATTTGATGATGGTGGAGATTTTAATTTGCGGCACTTGCTTCAACAGGTCGATAGTGAGGTCTGCAATGTGTCTATAAATTGCTTTGTAAATTCTTTCAGAAGTGTGTGATTCTTGGGTGTTTTTTGCTGATTTTGCTTTTAATTCAAAATTTACTGACTCACCTTTAAGTAAAATGTTTTGGACACTGAATTATCAGGTGATTCGCTTTAGGCACACAAGGCTTTTTTATTAGTCTCTTAGGAAGTTGACATTTTGATTTAACATGAGGTAATAGTTTGCCCAAAAAATTATAATTTACTCACTGTCATTTCATCATTCTAGATATAAATGCCTTTCTTTTTTTCCAGATGAGGACAGTTTGAGTTACATTGTTCTGGTGCTTTTCTGCTTTGTAATGTAAGTGAATGTTGCACGAGTTTTTGAAGCTACAAAAACCACATCTGTCCATCATAGAAGTAATATGTAGGACTCCAGACAGAGGGTAAATGAATGTATTTAAAGCAAGTAAAAAAAATTCATAAATTTTCCTTCGGCTTATGATCTCTGATTTATCTGAAGTCGCCACAGCGGAATGAACCACCAAACTTTTTCCAAACAATTATTCATTCATTCATTTTCTTTTCAGCTTATTCCCTTTATTAATCTGGGGTCACTACAGCGGAATGAACCGCCAACTATTCCAGCATATGTTTTACGCAACGGATGCACCTCCAGCCACATCCCAGTACTGGGAAACTTTTTCCAAACAATTATTCATATCTAAAACTTAAGATCCTATTGCAAGTAAAGAAGGTAAACAAATCAAATATCTGTTACCACCTGTTGGAAAATATCATACAGGTGTGTTTTAGAGAGTTAAAAAACATAATTTTTCTTACAAAAACCCTTTGGTTCACTAAAAAAACATTCTCAATCAACTTTAGTCATATGGATTACTTTTTATGATGGATGTGGTGTTTTAAGCTTCAAAAGGTCGGGCACCAGGGGTGGACTAGCCATAGGGAGCACAGAGACATTTCCTGGTGAGCTGAAGGTCAATCTGACCTGCCACCTTGACCTATCAATCCTCCTCCCAACCATCGCTCTTTATTTACCGACTGCACACTCCCCTTTAGTTATCATTCACTCAAGTGGCCTGATGTTTTATAACTGTCCCGGGCAAAAATACTGTCCCTGTCCACCCCTGTCAGGCAACATTCACTCTCATTAGAAAGCTGGGATGAGCCTTTTTTAAATATTACTCTGATATTATTTGTCCGAAAGATGAAATGCACATCTAGGATGTTTTGAGAGGGAGTAAATTATGTGCATTTTTTTTTTGGTGGTGCACCGTTCCTTTAATTAAAAAGAAATGAGTATTTTAAAGTCATTTATACCTCATTGAACATTCCTCTTTGCCTGCATTTTATACTGTTTCTGTAAAGTAAACGCTCATCTTTTTTGAAAGAAATGTATTATATTTGTTGCAGTGAGTTCTAATAGTGTGTTAGAAAGCCTCTCATACACATACACTTTATTTCTTGATTTAAGGCTATGCTAACCTGTTGTACAAATAAATGTGAAGTTAAAAACACTTTTTTTCAGATGTACATTTCACAGGTGCAACTCTGTTCTCTTTCTAGATGAAATGTACTTTACATACATTATAATCTTAACACTATTGGTTTTGAGAGCTATTTTTTCAAAGAAAGATTTGAAATTTGAGGGATACATGTATTATTTTCTGTGCGTTTGTGTGTGCGTGTGTGCGTTTGTGTGTGTGTGTGTGTGTGTGTGTGTGTGGTTATTGTTTATGTGCATATTAAGTGTGAGTGACTGTGTGTTTGAATCACCCTATGCCTTTCCTTTCTCTCTCTCTTTGTGCACTTCTGTGTCTACAAATGAATATGTTTAACCTGTAATTACTGCATGATCTATGGTACAGACACCCACTGTGTGCTAACCTACAACTGAAAAGAGATTATTACCACAAACAAAGCATTCCCTCTTTTTCCTGCTAAACCTCTAATGGGAATTGGGTGATAAAAAGGATATTGTGATGTTTTGTAACCTCATCTGTGCTTTGGTAAAATAAATAAACAGTGGATCATAGATTGGTGAATATTTATTTTTCTTCAGCTTAGTCTCTTATTTATCAGGGGTCGCCACAGTTGAATGGATCAACAACTGTTTTGGCATATTGTTTTACCTATTTATTCGCATCCCGGTACAGGGAAAGTAAATATTTATTTATTTATTTATTTATTTATTCATTCATTCATTCATTCATTTTATTTGTAACTTAGCACTAGGTCTAGAATTCCAAACCTGGAGCTTTTTACTTTTTAAACAGATCTTGCTTATGTTAATGCTGTTGTCTTTTAACAAATGTTTGAAACTTCACTTCCTGAAGTTTGACAATTAAGTCATTAAGTCACTTAGTAAACATATTTTCACCTAATATAATATTACCCCCAAAAAGGGGGGCATGTTAGAAATGAGACAGAGTTTTGTTAAAATATTTGTACATGCATGACATTTAATACTTTATATGATATTTTAACTACCGATAAATTAAAACCAATATATGAACATATATTCCAAACAATTAGCCATTAATTCATTATTAAGGATTTTTTTATGGCAGAAATAATAAGCACACTATTTTTGAGAATAAAAAGGTTTACTTTGTTACTTGAGTAACAATGCACTAGTATCTGGATGCAGACTTGGACTTGCAAGCTGAGAGACTGGAATACAGGTAAATACAACTACTAAGTGATAAGAACAGTAATTAACAAATCAGAAATAGACAGGAAAACAGAAAAGGAAACAAAATAAAGAAAGGGAAAATGAAAAAACACAGAAAAGCATCAAAGATTAACTTACTGGAAGCATCATATTTTCATAAGTCTCTGTTGGTTTGTGGAATTTGTGGATAAAGGATTTTGCATATAATATAAAAAGTTAAATATAAAAAAGTGTTTATATATATATATATATATATATATATATATATATATATATATATATATATATATATATATATATATATATATTTATATATAGTATATACACAGTTGAAGTCAGAATTATTATGAAGTTTTTTTTTTTTTTTGTCCGGAATGATATTTAACAGAGCAAGGAAATTTTCACAGTATGTCTGATAATATTTTTTCTTCTGGAGAAACTTTTATTTGTTTTATTTTGGCTAGAATAAAAGCAGCTTTTAATTTTTTAAAAACCATTTTTAGGTGAAAATTATTAGGCCCTTTAAGCTATATTTTTTCAGTAGTCTACAGAACAAACCATCGATATACAATAACTTGCCTAATTACCCTAACCTGCCTATTTAACCTAATTAATCCAGTTAAGCTTTTAAATGTCACTTTAAGCTGTATAGAAGTGTGTTGAAAAATATCTAGTCAAATATTATTTACTGTCATCATGGCAAAGATAAAATAAAGCAGTTATTAGAAATGAGTTGAAAAAGTGTTGAAAAGAATCTTCTCTGCATTAAACAGAAATTGGGATAGAAAATAAACGGGGCTAATAATTTATATATGTTCTTCATTTAAATTGGGATTTGAATAATTCATTCATTCATTTTCTTTTCGGCTTAGTCCCTTTATTATTTCGAGGTCGCCACAGCAGAATGAACCACCAACTTATCCAGCATATGTTTTATGCAGCGGATGCCCTTCCAGCTGCAACCCATCACTGGGAAACACCCATACACTCTTATTCACACACATACACTACAGACTATTTTTTAGCTTACCCAATTCACCTGTACCGCATGTCTTTGGACTCTTGTCTTTGGAAACCGGAGCACCCGGAGGAAATTCACAGAGACATGCCAACGGACTCCGCGGTTCGAACCAGGACCTTCTTGCTGTGAGGCGACAGGATACCTGCACCACGAGTCACTGGATTAGAATAATAACAAATAATATCTTTCATGGAATGTCAAACTCAGTGGAGCTAGTGACGTCATTGTGAAGGGTAGAATTAGTGGGGTTATGTGTGGGCAATAAAAAGCCTTGCATGCAGCACATCTGCACCATGTCTGCATCCAAACCCCTCTCCAATAATGAGGAAAAGGACTGCAATCCCAGGAGGCACTGCAAATGACTTGATCAATCAAAATGTTAAACTTATTAAAGAATAATAAAGTAATAAATAAATTAATTAAAAGTCATAAAGAATTATTTATAAAATAATAAATAATGAAATTAAACCAACCAATAAAATAAAAATAATAACAAGTTAATAAATAAAATGATTATGTGTAAATTATATATATATATATATATATATATATATATATATATATATGAGGTGTTGTGAGGTAAACATTAAATAGTATATTTAAAGTCCCTTTCATCAGGTTGCATCGTTTTCCTCCACAAAATCTGCTATTGAATACATTTTTTTTAAAGAGCTGACTTAATGATAACCTAGTAAAGATATGAGAGCAGGGGCGGATTTAACCAATAAGCAAGATATTATATAAGGAAATCTGAGGGCCCCCAAATAAGTACCTAGAAATATAAGTTATACCTATAAATAAAATTGTTTTATGTCATATTTTGTATAGTGAGGGTCTAATTTTTTTTTAAGATGAATTCACAACTAAAAATAATAAATGAACTATTTTGTTTTTAAAATGAGATCTTTACTTCTTTGACTGCTGGACTGGTCCATGATCGACGGTGCGGGACACATTTGTGCAGATATAATAATTACGTTCAAATAAAAAAAACTATTTAATATTTACCTCATAACACACACACACACACACACACACACACACACACACACACACACACACACACACACACACACACACACACACACACACACACACACACACACACACATATATATATATATATATATATATATATATATATATATATATATATATATATATAGGAGCAGACATCATTTTAATAAAGTAATAAAATAATAATAATGATAATATATTAAATGGAAAACTGATTAAAATACAACGTAACTACAAATTTAAGTTAAATACACAGAATTAAATACAATGAATGAAAGCAAATCATAGAGCCCGAGCTAGTCACGTGACCACCTCACCTCCAACGCTTGGCTTGCGTCATTGCATAATCACAGAAATATGGCGCTGCGCTCTTACTGTCGACAACTAGCTGCACAGGTCTTTCGTTTGAAGCTTTGTGGTAACGAATGTCCGAGAAATGCACCGGGTTGTAGTTTTTCTCTTGCGGGAATCAAGTCGCTGCATGAACCGACCGGCGTGCTGGCGCGGTCGAGCCGCTGTGTGAAGCGCTGGCACAGAAGGTCATGGCATCGCTGTGCCAGTCTGCAAATGCCTAGTCAGAAGAGCCACTCGGACACTACAGACTTCAGCAGGTGGACTCTTGCCTGGGGTGCCGTCGGTGAGTTCAGATTCAGGTTGTTTGTGTATCAGAAGAAACAGTTGGTTACATCCTTTGACACATGACGTAACGTGCGTGGTGCTGTCGTAACATTATATGTATGTAATGTTTAAAGCACGTCAAGTCAGATTGACTTCTCTGTGTGTTCATATCAAATGATCTGACGCTCAGATTTGCTTTCACATCAGCCTTTTCGCTTTTTGGAGGCTCAGATGAGAAAACCGAGGAGCAAAAACTTGAGGATGAACTTATTCTGCTCTTGAAGAAAGCCAAGGTAAATTATGCTGGGATGCTTTCCTGAGAACTCTCAGCACATTAAGAGAGTTTAAGCTAAATTTGTATGCTTTGCTAGCGTAGTCTAAGATAATTCAATCTACACAAATTCAATTAAATTCAAGTTTATTTGTATAGCGGTTTTCACAAATTTATTGTTTCAAAGGAGCTTTACTAAAGGTGCTTATTATTACATTACAGTCAAAGTCAGGAAAATTAAGGTTATTAATTGCCATAACTTTATATTTTTACTAATAGTTTTGTAACTATTACTAATAACTAAATAATTAGTAATTAAACAGTTAAAGTTATATACCTGACTAAAGTCTTGTCGCCTATCCAAGTTTTAGGAGCAACAAATAATCGCTTGACTTCTAGTTGATCATTTTATATCAGAAGTGTCTCATATGACAGGCAAAGGCCTTTAGATTAAGCTTATTTTACCACAATGAAATATGATCATGCCTCGATTTTTAATTATTTAATTAAGACAGTAAGGTCTGGTTTTGCTTAGACAAAAGTGTTGTCACGTAACAGAAATAATGTACAGTAAAGAATATAAAGTCATGGTGCAGTAGAAAAAGAATTATTTTTGTGTATGACACCCATGGGTTTAGAGGACTGCATCCAAACATCTTTGCATTGACTCAAATCACTTATTAATAAAGTCATCTGGAATGGCAAAGAAAGGGTTCATGCAGGACTCCCAGAGTTCATCAAGATTATTTGGATTCATCTTCAATGCCTCGTCCATCATCTTACACCAGACATGCTCAATAATGTTCATGTCAGGTGACTGGGCTGGCCAATCCTTAAGCACCTTGACCTTTGCTTTCAAGAACTGTGATGTGGAGGCTGAAGTATGAGAAGGAGCGCTATCCTGCTGAAGAATTTTGTACTGTAATGGGCAGCACAAATGTCTTGATAACTCAGGCTGTTGATGTTGCCATTCACTCTACAGATCTCTCTTGTATGCCCCCATACTGAATGTAACCCCAAACCATAATTTTTCCTTTACCAAACTTGACTGATTTCTAAGAGAATCTTCAGTCCATGCCAGTTTCAGTAGGTCCTCTGCAGTATTGTGATGATTGGGATGCAGTTCAATAGATGATTCCTCAAAAAAATCTACCTTCTGCCACTTTTTCAAATGATCAACTAAAAGTCAAGTAATTATTTGTTGCTCTTACAACTGGGATTGACGACAAGACTTTTGTCAGGTAGTGTAATTAACCTGCAGTTACATAGTAAATAGGTGATGTCTATTTGTCTATTTGTGCATGTTCAATGAAGTTTATTTGTGTATTAAGTAGATGTGTTGTCCTTAAAGTCCTCAATAGTTGGCATCATCTCTTCGCAATGATACAACAGTTCTGTTCATATTATATGTTATTTCGATAATGAAATTCATATTAAAAAGTATAAAATATAAGTAATTCTGTACTTTTTCAAAACACACACACACACACACACACACACACAAAAGTAATAATGCCACTTAATATATTTTAGTTCTCTTTACAAGCTTAAATTTTCACTGTCTTAGTGCAGGAAACTATATTGATGCCTTTCAAGTTCTATGAAGTTCTCACTAGTATCATAGTTTTGTGGATCTGTTGCATCTAATAGATTAAACCCCTCACAATGTTAGACTTTTCATATTTTAAAGCACTTGCTGTTAGGGCTGTACAATATATTGTTTCAGCATTGATATTGCAATGTGCACATCTGCAATAGTCACATTGCAAGGTCTGCAATGCCAGTCTGAATTATGGTTGACCAGGAGCTACAGAACACATGTGGTCAATGCTAACTTTAGCCATATATTGTGAAAGTTTCATCATTTGCATGTGTTTTTAAGGCTTGTGACTGAGCATTTCAAAACAGTTTAAAACATTCGGGGACAAAACATATATGATTTACAAAGATGAATTGTATTTAATTATTTATGCAGGGAAAAAGATACTTAATTAGAATTTTTGTCTGGCTTCTAGTCTAAAAATCTACATTTAAAAGTGGCAACAAGATTATTTTATTTACCCTTTTAGCAGACATTTTAGCTTGTTTAAAGGGAAAACTTTTAATTTGGATTTATTTCTTCTGAAGGTAAAAACAAAACAATATTTCTACTTGATCTAAGACTAATAAGATATTTCGACTAGAAACAAGACAATAATTGGGATTATTCAATATCTGTACCTGAATACAACTGACAATCAGGGCTATCAGACCATCTTGTGAAACTGTATTCATATCACAAAAATTATCGCAGAAAAGAATATTGCAATATCGTGCAGCCATACTTGGCTTCAATTAGTTTCTCACTTTGTAAGCTGTTACAGAGAAACTACTGGGCATCTTGCATTAAAAGGTTGTTTTTGAAGACTGAATGTTACTCTGTGTGCTTCACAGTACAGCATGATGATTGGGGAGCTGGATGCAGCTGATGGTTTCTTACACCGAGCTGTCCGACTGGCACATCAGATGCACAATAACGATGCCATTATATACACATACAGCCTGGTAAGATTTTGCATTTATTTTTTAAACCTTGCCTTGTTTTTTTTTACCTAGCTTAGCCCATTATCATGTCTAAAAAATATTATGATCATGTACAGGGGTGTGCTGTTGACTAAAAATATCTAAGTATTTTCTAGAATATTTGTGATAATAATAATTAGACTATATTTTGCTAAGCATATTATTGTTCTGGTATCTTAAGGACTATAGTTGGCTTCTGAAGTTTCTGATATTTGTCATTTTCTTTATTGTCGGTTCACAGGAAGGATAGAAATTATATAAAAAAAATTTCAATCAAGTTTAAATAGATTTTTACATTTTTATGGACATGTTTGCCTTTTTATAAAACAGTTTTAAAAGTGTAAAAAAGTCATCTTTTGAGTCAAATTTGTACATTTAATCAGTCAAATATGTTTACAATAATAAAATAGTAAACAATATTAATATTATTAATATGTTTCAACTAAAATTATCTTTGTAGAAGTTGCATATGAAGTGGCATTGAGATGTGTTTATTTACACTAATAATAATATATTAAATGTATTAAAACATTAAAAAAAAAAATAACCAGTAGGAGGCAGCAAGTGGGTGATAAATAATTTTAATGGTTGCTTCATTCATAAACTAAACACAATCAGGTTGCTCAATGAGATGCACAATAGAGCAAAAACAGCCAATATGGGCTAATCTTATCTTAATTGTATTAATGAGTTAATATTAAGCATCTAAATTATACTAAATTATTATGTTAGACTGTTGTATAAAGTCAATTCCACTATTGTAACCATGCTGATTTTTGAAGGAAAAAAAGTAACCTTGCATAGTGCTTGCATTTTGTGGGTATGATTTGTTTTATTTTTAAAAGAAAAGTAATAATGTCAAATAGCACATCATTAAAACAGTTATGATTCTTTCACATACAATATTCCACACAACAACCATTTATATAGAATATTACATACAGTAAAATGATATGTTCTGGTTTCTTCGCAGATGGCAAATCTTGCCTTTGTTCGAGGTCAGCTGGACAATGTAAGATCTTCCCTTTGCCCTGCTCCACTGACTCAGATCTCCAGATTACTGCAAAAATGTGTAGTAAACACCAGCTTGTGATACTTTTTGTACAGGCTGAGAAGCTGTTCAAAGCAGCGATGAGTTTCATGTTGTCAGGAGGAACACCACAGGTAAACATTTGTACTGTATATCCGTTAAAACATTGTACTAGAAACATACTAGAAGCAACATGCTAAAAATGCTAACACCATGCTAAGTAATGCTAGCTACAGGCTAAATCAAGCTTTTTAAACTTTGATGTAACAATTTTTAACTTTCAGGCTTTCTCAAGCTAACATTAAAGTTTATGTGTAGACTTTATTTACTAGTAAAATTGTGAAAAGTGAAATGATGAAATTCTATTTAATAATAATATTAATAATCATAACTCACTACTGTTCAGCTTAGTCCCTGATTTATCAGGGGTCGCACCATTAGTTACTCTGGTACTCTGATGCCCTTCCATCTGCATAGTAATAATGAAAATAATAATAGCGGAATAGACTTTGGCGTTTGTTTTATTCAGCGAATGCTCTTTCATCTGCATAATAATACAACTATTTTTCCTTCCTCAACAATGCAATTTTGACTTGCTGTAACTTTTAATAAACTTAATACAGCTCTATTTAAAGAGACGGTATCAATTGTGCTCATTCAATCCTACAATAAGTTTAAAACTACATTTATGACCTATGCCTACAACCTAACACTATGAAGATTGTATAGATGGCACCTGCCACTAAGTTAACTCAGTAGGATATATCCTAGTGCATCGGCTTTATGCAACAGATGTAAGAAACATAAGGACACTTTTATGCATATTTTTTGTAACTGAAAAGCTAAATGAGTTTAGGGATACTGTACATGAGTTGGGTGTCACGGTGGTCCAGTGGGTAGCACGATCGCCTCACAGCAAGAAGGTCGTAGGTTTGAGCCTTGGCTGGGTTAGTTGGCATTTCTGTGTGGAATTTGCATGTTCTCACTGTGTTCGTGTGGGATTCCACCGGTTTTTCCCCACAGTCCAAAGACGTGGTATAGGTAAATTGGGAAGGCTAAATTGTCCGTAGTGTTTATGTGTAAATGAGTGTATGTGTATGTAAACATATGCTGGATAAGTTGGTGGCTCATTCTGCTGTGGTGACCCCAGATTTAAAAAGGGACTATATATATATATATATACTATATATATATTTATAATTTATATTTAATATATATATAATTTAGGGTTGACTTGAATGAAGTGAGATGAATGAAGTGAATGATCAGATCCTTTTTTAGGATCTTTATTTAGTAGGTCTGATTTCTTATGTATCTAGAAAATTTTTCTGTTAAACTGGGAAAATGAACACCCTCCAACAGTTGAATTATTTAAAAATAATATAAATGGCGTTTGGAATATGTAACATATAGTTTAAAAAACATAACACGCACATTTGTTTAGAAACCTGAAATAATTATTTGGACCCTTTATGAACATTTTGACCTGTGCCTAATGCTTGTATAATAATTGTTATCACACTGACAACTCGCATGTTAATTTCATATTTTGATTTCTGTTTTACTGAATTTGATGTATATGTTTTTTACACGTGTTTACTCTGATGCTATTTAATGCTGGGTATTCCCCTTGTTAATTGTGCTGATTGTTATTTTGTAAAACAATAAATAAAATAATAATCATAATATTAATATAGGAAGTAGTGAAGAAAGGTATAGTGGGCTACTTTGAAAACAGCATCTCTAAGCAAGCAGTATATTTGTAGTATGTAAGGCCTTTTACTCGTTCATTCATTCATTTTCTTTTCAGCTTAGTCCCTTTATTAATCCGGGGTCGCCACAGCAGAATGATCCACCAACTTATCCAGCATATGTTTTATGCAGCGGATGCCCTTCTAGCTGCAAGCTAACAAAGGCAATGAGAAATGCAGTCAGTCACCATCTATTTGAAACTATTTTTACCTGTTTTATCTCATCAGGATGACAATGCATTGATTGAGATGTCGCTGAAGCTGGCCAGCATATACGCCACGCAAAACAAGTGAGTGCCGAGCCTTGGTGAAACTCTGAGTCAGCTGACCCGTTGACCTCTGTGCTGTTCAGTAACTCGTTTCATTTCCAGGAATGAGTTAGCAGAGCATGGCTTTCAGTTCTGCACCGATTCTTTAGAGGCCAAGATGGATAAACAGAAGGATCTTCCTCCAGAAAGCCTCTCAGGTATCACCAAAGCCTCAAACTTTGGCTCATTTGGGTTTATTCATCAAAAGTAATTAACTAAATGTTTGTGTTTCTATTAGACGAAGAGCGCAAAGACACCAGGTTGCTGCTTGGTCTCAGTTTAGATGCAAGGGCACGTTATTTGGCAGCAAATCATCGTTTCATAGGGGCCTGCCGGGATTACAGACACGCTCTGCAGATCTGCCAGGAGGAGCAGGGAGAGTCCCATCCGCAGGTTATTTTTCTCTTTTGCTTGCAAGTATAAACGTATTGGAACAGACCTACAAAACAATGCTGGAAGATATTAAAGCCTGGGACACGTCAAATCAACGTCAAAGAACCAGTGGCAATGAAAACTGTCTGTGTGGTCATCTCATATCAGCTGTATTTGGTCCGTTCTGGACTAAAAATAGCTGTATGTAAACACCTAGAACATACAACAGCCGACTGAAACAAGAATGAACACGGTACATCATGGGATAGCATAGCATCCATCGGATGTATACTTCAGAATCTCATCGAAAGTAGTAGGTCATCCAGACACTTCTTGTATACTGATTTTCGAATTCTATAAATTCTGACATACTACTTGGCTCGCATACTGTTTTTAGCCTACTACATAGTATGGAAGTATGTTATTTCGGACACAGCCTCTGATTTGTAGCTGAACATGTATGAAACACACCAAACTATAAACTAGCCAGACAAGACACTCACAGATGGCCCAACACTACCCAACAACGACCATTAGCTTGGTGCGTTTCTTCTGAAACATAAATCTTTAAATTGAATAATACATGAACAGTTTCAATTATATGCAAATATAAAAACAGAACAGCTAATTTACAACTAATTTACTTAACAAATTCACAGTAAAACATATAATAAATCCACCTGCCCCAACTACAAATTTGTAACGCTAAATAACAGTTACAGAACTTGATACATAACTGTAAAGAGCAAAGTAGCTTCATAATTTCAGCAATGCTTTTTCAGAAATACGGCCATATTTGCTTTCTTTGGCAAAGAAAAAACATCCAAGTGCACTCATGAGTGAGAAGTGAGAGCACACACACATAGTTAGCATACATTTAGGGAGCTATTAGGGGTTAGGTGCCTTGCTCAGGGGCACCTCAGCTGGGTATTGAAAAAGGAGAAAGTGCGGTTCATTCGTTCCCCCATCTTCAATTCCTTTTGACAGCGGAAATCGAACCTGCAACCTTTCAATTACAAGTACAACTCCCTAACCATTAGACTTCAATTGGTTGAGAGTACAAATAAACTGTGAAATGGCAGAGTGTCCGAATAAATATCAATATTCAAAATTGGTTTTCTGACAGAACAATCTATCTTGCAATAACTTTTCACAAAACTTACAATAAAGCAGTCATGCTGTTTTTTTTTGTTTGTTTGTTTTTTTCCATTTGTGGTCCTCCACCACCGGGCTGTGGACCAGTACCGGTCCGTGATTCAAATGGTACTGGGCCGCACAAGAAATCATAATTTTTTTCTGAGTCTGAATGATATGTATTTTTGAAAAATGACCGTATTCTCTCGCTTCACATCTCGGTCACTTGAGCGCCCAAAATTAAGCACCAGCAGCAAAATGTGTAAGAAACAGACATCTTTGAAAAATTTCTTTGAGAAGGGGAAAAGGCCCAGCGAACTGCCAAGGAATGGATCCGTAACCCTGTTGTCTGCAAATCAGGTGAATCCACCATGGCTGTGCAAGAAGATCTACTGCGGGAGTTCACAAATGATGGTGGCCTTTTAGTGGCCGTTCGCATATTGCGTCTTTTCTAGAGTTCACACAAGTTTATTTCCAATGGAGGTGCGCGGCTTCTCCGCACTATTGGTGTGACGCACCGTGTCTTCCAGACCAGACGCACCCAGTTAAATGAATCCCTCAAACACACCGCAAGTCACACTGCAGTGCTTTGTAACTTTTTTCCAAAATGCAACTTGTATCAGAGTGACAGAAATGTTATTTGTTGATGGTGGCCTAGCAAAGAAATTGTCAAGCGTTGACCAGCCCACAGTGACAAAAATATTGAGGACCACTGAAATAAACAACAGACAGGCTCAGTGCTGACATCTTGTGGAAAATATGCAAGCTGCTCATACATTGTAAGCAGGGTTAGAAATTAGTTTTTTGGTGCGCAGAAGTTTGTCTCATGACTGAGCCTTTGTATTGTGTGCTGTGCTTCAGACGCTGGTCCTGATGAGTGACCTGGCCACCGTGTTGGACCTGCAGGGGAAGCATGATGAGGCTCTAGTTTATGTGAAGAAGGCCGTGGAGCTCGGACAGGCAGCGGGTCACCCTGAACAACACGTGCTGCTTGGAAATATGGCAGGAATCCTGATGCATAACGGTACTTTTGAAGAACTTGTTACAAATAAAATGAACAAACCTATTTCGTGTCAATTATGTTTATATTAATGAAAGTATTTATTCAAATGTTGAATAAAGATTATCACAACTTAGAATATAGATAGAATAAAACAAATATTTACGTTTTGCCAAAAAATACCTAATAAATCTAGTAAATATAGAGAATTATTGTGGTCCATAGCTGTCTCTTGTGCGCTGTTAGACTAAATACATGAATTATATATATATATATATATATATATATATATATATATATATATATATATATATATATATAAAATTAAGAGTATAAAATCTGAGATTTTATTAAAATACTTTGTTGAGTTTAAAAGGTAGAAATGACTTCATAGTGTTCTACTGTAGTGTACTATTACACTATATTTTCAGGAAAATGCCAAAAAAAGGAGAAAAGGTTCTGCTGTTTAATGTTTTTGACCGCTTCACACCACAAAAAATTCTTTAAATTAAAGTGAACCAAAATGTATTATTTAGAACAGAAGAAACACTGAAAAAATAACTACTAAACAAACATAAAATGTATAACAGCAAATTATAGTCATTCAGGAATAACTTATAATAAATCTGGCCCTCCCATTATTAATATTAAAACTGAAACTAGATGTGTCTGTGGACATGCACTCAGCAAAAACTCGCGTCTTTCTTATTCATTGAACTTTGTATATTTAGTGCATGACATAAATTGTATGATTTGAGTTTTGGAAAATAAATCACAGCTTGTTTTAGATTATTTAAACTCAAGATATATTCTGCATTATACAGTATGTATAGATGAATAGATTCATTTAAAATAATATAAAAGTTTTTTTTCTATGGATTTTATGAAAAATATTACATAACTAAAATAAATAAGTAACATTCTTGAAATCATGCCCGGGTAAATGTCCAGCTGTCACTGTTGTCGCTGTTTTGTAATTCAGGTGAGTTTGAAGAATCTGCTAAACTGTATCAGGAGGCTCTGGCTCTGGCACACACAGCAGGCGATGCAGAGGCCATTGAGCAGCTTCAGGAGGGACTAAAAGAGCTGGACAACAGGAGAAACGCAAAAGATAACAGCAAAGTGGAAGATGAGCTCAAGGAATGACAAAATGCTGTCTGCACACACACACTCCTTGGACTATTATATTTTCAGTAGAGCACAGCATTAGGACAAACTTTACAGTTTTGTGCAGAAAATATCATCTTTAGCAGGACCATAAACCTCCAGCCATGAATCAAATTAATAATAATCAGTATTTGATGCCACTGCCATTTACTGTTTGCCATCAGTACACGACAAGTTGTTTAATGGCCTTTTTACCTTACCTTCCATTAGATTACCTCCTGTTTTGTGCTGGTGGACTGTAATAAATTATTCCTTTGTAAAGTAAAAACAAGGAAGATAATGAAGATCATTATTGGTCTGTTTATATAATGTGCAATGGAATATGTAATGCTCCTATTTGAAGCCAACTCGTGTTAATGTGTTTGATGTGTGAAGTGATTTGATAAACCTGTGCACACGCTTGTTTGGTTTTTTAATATTGGTTTGTACATCCTCAACTAAGGAGATAATTTACCCCAAATTTCTCATCCTCAATAGGTTACAAACATTTAACAGTTTATTCAATCTGTTGAACACAAAGAAAGAAATATTGAAATAAAATCAAAACTAGTAACACTGACATCTATTGTCGGAAAAACAAATAATTCAGTGGTTATAGATTTCTGGTTTCCTTCCATAATATTTACCTTTGTGTTCAGAAAGAAAGTCAAACCGGTTTGGAACAAGCACATAGTGAGAAATGATGACAGTTTTCAGTTTTAGGTGAACTAACCCTTTGATTCGGTTAAACGTGATTTTCTTGCCCAGTAGAGGTCAGTCAAGTGTTTACGTTTTCGTAAGCTCATCCGAGAAACTAAAGTTTTGAGGCCATAACCAACAATATGGGTAAATCCAAACTGTGACAATCAGAAGCTGAACATTAAGATGTTTAAACTGAAGGTAAGTTTAGCTCAGTTTGTATTTATTTCTCTTCCTGAACTTAATACCCTATTAGACTGAGCATTTTGAAACGCAAAGTAGGTAACATTAATGAAAAATCCCTAACTTAAACGTCTAGTTCAACTTCGTTCCAGAAATGTTATTTGGCCAGTCTTCCTCAAATTTTACTTAAATTAAGTATCTTTGTTGTAATAATAAGCTTCCGTGCATAGCTATAGGCTAAACTAACACTGGTTTTGATGCTGGTCTTGCTTCTTTTAATGCTGGTTAGGACCAGCACTGACCCATTGAGGTAAAGTTGGTTTTATATTCACACTCAGACTTTCTTCTTAGTCATATTTGCCAATTATAAATGGAAAAATCTTATTAGCAGCTAATGCCTATAAAAATACAACTTACAGTCAAATAAATAGTGCTAATGTTGTATTAAAGTCATATTTACATGCCATCCAAGACCAAATATTCAAAGTACTATGGTAAACAATATAGGGAGAATGTCATAGGTTGTCACTGAACGAATGTGTGAATATAAAACCAACTTTATCTCAATCACTGAACCCAGCATACCAGTATCAACACACCAGCATATGCAGTTTTTTTTCAGTCGACATCCAGCCATAAACCATCGCGCATTTTTAAATTGAGACTTGAGGATACATGCTTTTGTAACCTTTAAACTGTTCCATTATAATAAATTACAGCTTTTGGAATATAAGCTTATTTAGGTTTTATTTGAAAAAAGTAATGTCTTAACATTTAACAGCATTTTAAATCACAAAATAGCCTGAAAGACTTACCCCATCTTTAAGTAAAAAATAATAGTACATTTATAAATCAAATGAACTAAATTTACATTTATAAACCAAATAAACTATCACCACTAAACACCAAATACACCTTGTTATTGCTATCAGGCCTGTGCCAGTGTCTGCTGATTATAAATGCAACACTTAAAGGAAAAAGGTTCACCAAAAAATTGAATTCTGTCAGTAAGATAGTTTGAAAAATGTTGGAAACCTGTAACCATTGCCTTCCATATTATCTGTTTTCCTACTATGGTTGCATGTTTTCAGCTTTCTTTAAAATATCTTTTGTGAAAGAAGAAAAGGAATTAAATTTAAATTTACGGATGAAATATCCCTTTAATATGATTAATTTCGCTTTAACTACAAATTATAAGCTTTTGTTTAAAACTCCTGTGAAACATCTTTTTAAAATCTTTTGTTGATGGCAGATTATAAATGATCAATAATTAACCAACTTCATTACAATCTCAGTTTTTTAATTATTTATGCGAATTACAGTATAGTTTGTGTGTTTGTTTTTATAATCAAGCAAAATAATTTCAGATTTTCAAGTTTTAAAAAAATGTATATTTACACTAAGGTCAATTTTGCTTGCCTAAATTTTTATCTCTTGATTTACATTTACATGCAACTGATTAACTGAACCGAACGTATTTTAATGTTGTAATCAAATCCTGTTTTGTTCAAAATGTGCGACTGAAGCAATGGAGCCTAGAAGCTTCTCTGTTATTTTTAGTGCGTCAATTTAAAGGAAAATTCGATTAACCTGGTTACTCAATAACCGGCCTTGGATCCTTTTCACTCTTTAAACCATTAGTCAAATTGTTCTTATTCTCTGAAGAAGATGCTATTTTTCTCAATAAGAGAGTTAAATATTCTCTCATTCTACCTAGTAAAAAGACCTAAAAGCCTCAGATCAGCAGCTCAGTCCCGAGAGGAATTCAGAAGTGCTGCTGTGTCATCGTGTTCCCGATGCATTACAATTCACACATGATATTTTAATCCCGTAATTATTAATAGTGGGAACAGCGAGTGCCGTCCTAATAAAGGAGAAGGGATGCATTTTGGGACACTGCTCTGAGTGTGGTCTTTTCATATGCTTGGGTGGTAAAGGATCCAGAGGGAGTAGAAGACTGAGATCAACATGACTCAACTAGTAATTAAGGATCTCATTGAGTGTGGCTCATCAGATAAGAACAGCTCAGGTTTTCATTCAAACTTAGTCTTGGGGGCATGAGGTGGGACTAAAAGTTTATACTGGCCCGGAATTAATGTTGTGAGTCGTGTTGTGCAATGCCTTTAGGCCTCCAAAATGTTCACCTTTTGACTTAAAAGCCATGGGAATTTAAATCCCACATATAGATGTGTTAGCCTGGACGTCTATGCAAAACATTCATAAATTTGATTTGTCCAAATGTTGTTGTTTTTATGGTCGCTTTGCGTACACATGTTTATCTGCATGCGTCCTTTTGAATTTTTTCTCGACGAGCATTGGTTAATTTGTTTATTCCGGTTTGCAGCTGAAATGACTGCTTTTGCTCCCTGCCCTCGCATTGGCAAGCAGTCATGTGAACAGTAATTGCTAGTTTGTCAAGTCTGAGTGGAAGAAAATGATGATTTACATGAGCTTTCCATTGTGCTGCTGTGATCACTTTCCTCTTATTGCATGAGCACTAAATCTCCTCTTAAGCGAATGACGTGTATCTGTATTTGCAGTTTGTGAGATGTTAACCTATACAGTGGAGATCAGAATTACAGAACAACATATAATCTTCCATTTTGGGGTCGCTCCTTTGTCCAATTTGAACATTAAAAGACAATTTTAAGCATATTTATGGATTTACATACACAGAAGCACAGCATACAGTGCATCCGGAAAGTATTCATAGCGCTTCACATTTTCCAATTTTTTTTATATTACAGCCTTATTCCCAAATGGATTCAATTCATTTATTTTCTCAAAATCCTAAACACAATACCTCATAATGACAATGTGAAAAAAGCTTTTTTTTTTTTTTTTTTTTGCAAATTTATAAAAAAAAAACCCTGAAAAATCACATAGCCTTTGCTCAATACTTTGTTGATGCACCTTTGGCAGCAATTACAGCCTCAAGTCTTTTTGAATATGATGCCACAAGCTTGGCACACCTGTCTTTAAGGAATTTTTGCCCATTCCTTTTTGCAGTACCTCTCAAACTCTATCAGATCTCTATCAGAACTCTTTCAGATCTCTCCAGATGTTCAATTGGATTTAGGTCTGGCCTCCGGCTGGGCCACTCTAGGACATTCACTGAGTTGTTGTGAAGCCACTCCATTGCAATTTTGGAGGTGTGCTTTGTTTCATTGTCCTGCTGGAAGATGAACCATCGCCCCAATCTGAGGTTAAGAGCACTCTGAAGCAAGTTTTCATTCAGGATGTCTCTTTACATTGCTGCATTCATCTTTACCTCTATCCTGACTGGTCTTCCAGTTCCTACTTGTGAAAAACATCCCCACAGCATGATGCTGCCACCACCTTGGTTCACTGTAGGGATGGTATTAGCCCGGTGATGAGCGGTGTCTGGTTTTCTCCAAACGTAACGCCTGGCAATCACTCCAAAGAGTTCAATTTTAGTCTCATCAGACTATTTAGGTTCTTATGGTCTGAGAGTCCTTTAGATGCCTTTTGGCAAATACCAAGTGGGAGTGGCTTTCGTCTGGCCACTCTACCATACAGGCCGGGTTGGTGGATTGCTGCACAGATGGTTGTCCTTCTGTATGGTTCTCCTCTCTCCATAGAAGAAAGCTGGAGCTCAGACAGTGTGACCATCAGGTTAATGATCACCTCCCTCTAGGTAATGATCACCTCTAGGCCAGCTTTAGAACGAGTCCTGGTGGTTCCAAACATCTTACACTTATGGATGATGGAGGCCACTGTGCTCACTGGAAATTTCAGAGCAGCAGAAATTTTTCTGTAACCTTCCCCAGCCTTGTGCCTCAAGACAATCCTGTCTCGGAGATCTACAGACAATTCCTTTGTCTTCATGCTTGGTTTATGCTTTGTCACGCACTGTCAACCCTGGGACTTTATATAGACAGGTGTATGCCTTTTCAAATCATGTCCAATCAACTGAATTGACCACAGGTGAACACCAATTAAGCTGTCTATTTCAAGGCAGTGTCAAAGAGGTCTGATCTATGCATGGGGGAAAAAAATCTGTGGACACGTGGACAACATGCACTTTCAACCCTGGGACCTTATATAGCTCTCATCCTCCATTGTCAGAAGTGGTCCACGAACATTTAAAATCCTTAACAGAAACCAAAAACGTTCTCAAAACATGCTGTGTGACTTCAGTGGTTCAACTGTAATCATATGAAGCTTTTGAAAAACAAAAGAACACGTTTTTGCGACTGAAGTAGAGTTGATGATGATCACAGCAGAGCAGTGCGAGAGACTAATGTTATTATTGCAAAGGCCTGTTTACTCATACATTTTTTAGAACCAAGAGATATGTTCTTGTGGGTATATACAGTTGAAGTCAGAATTATTAGTCCCCCTTTGATTTTTTTTTCAATATTTCCCAAAATATGTTTAAAGAGCCCATATTATGGGTTTTTGAAAATTCCCCTCCATGTAGTGTGTAACACAGCTCTAAGTGAAGTGAAGTATCCAGCTAAGGCTTAAATCTGTAAGAATACAGTGTTTAAAACTGTTGATTCATCTATAAAAGAGTCG